ACGCTCTCAAGAGACAAGGCCGTACCCTATACGGTTTCGGAGGTTAAGCCATCGCGATCTCATCGACCTCACGGTCAAAAAAAGGCCCTTTTCAGGGCCGCTACTCTTAAGAAGATCATACCTAAGGCTCAGTCTTAGTTAGCAGATCAATGGAAGCGGTTCTCCGAGGAGGTTTTTTAATGTGAATGGACAGACTTGATGTGAATGGCATGTCCTTTGCGTGTGGGAACTAGACTGGGAAATTTTGATCCGGACTGGCGACTCTTCATCCGGTGGTCCAACGGCATCCAGGCTTGTAATCGTGGCTGCTTGGCTGAGGAGCATCCCTCAGACGTTCGGCCGTGGGAGATACACTTGAAGGTTGAAAGTGTCCCAGTTCTCGCTCTTGACCTCGTTCTGCTCATTCATCAGGTTATGAGCTCAGTTTAGCCGCGAATTCGTGTGTCACTATGGAGACTGTATCGATAGTGCAAAAAAGATCAATAATTGATAATTGATGCGATGGGACTACGACAAGGTCAATAAGACGATGATGGCAGCGAACACTGCGACAAAGAAGAGGCCTCTCAGCAAAGGAAGGAGTCTGACAGCGGCTCCTGTCGCAACGAAAATATCCGCTCCTGATAGGTCCTTCGCCTGGGGGATGGAGGGATTTTGCGCTCCATGTCGCCGTCTGTCGAAGAACCCATCGCCAATGAATCCCAATGCGCCATAGTCTTCCAAGAAGGAGGGAGGCGCATCGAAGTAGCCTTTCTTGAGGAATCAATTAGCGGAAGCGTGACAAAACCTAGGTCTCCCCCCTGACGAATGAATTCGAGATCGATGGAGACTGTGTTTACCTACGTAGCGCATCATCACGACTTGGCATCAGATCCACATCTACAGGTCGCGACGACGCTGACGTTCCTGAGAACGATTCTCGGAGCATAGCGGCCGTTCCTCGCGATAATCAGTCTGATGACAAGGATCGGGGAAGGCTGGTTTCGAAAGAAAAATGGGGAAAGGAGCCCGCGGGCAACCCTTCGTCTCGTCCCTCGGATTCCAACTCTACCTCTCTGAAACTCAACAACTTGAGGGAGCATCATCAGGGAGCTTGCTCATCCGGGGCTGCCCTCTGCTCACAGTGTCGGAGACTCTCTGTCGATGCCGTGATTATAGGGAGCATCCAGACCGGAGCATGGAGATCCTCGTCGCATTTACCCGACGGGGATGGCTGTGGCTGAAGCTCGAGAGGAGGGTGTCATACTTCACGCACTTTCGGTATCTTCCTCGTCTTGTATGCTCACATTAGTCCGCCCCCTGATGGATCCCGTGGTGATCGCACTCAACAGAAACCATGCTCCATCCTCATTTTTGGGAACGAGGAATACAGAAAAGCGGCCTTGTTCATACTACGAGCAGTCTCTAACGAACGGGTAGGTTTCGGGAGCTCGGCCGAGTACGCTCGCCGATTCAATATTTACGCTGTTCATGAAGCATGCCAGTATGAGTGACCGGTCTCGATTCGATCGTTGGTGAACGGAAGGAATAAACGGGGCAGTCTCCAGGAGACTGGCAGGCTCAAAATGTTCGAATGGATGTTCTATCCACGGTCTATCAGCAGCCCCAGGGAGAGCCTTTCTCCCCGAACGAACGCCGTGCCCTAGCACGATCTTGTTAGAGCAGGTTGAATGCCTCATGGCATGACGGTGCCACGCTTTGCGTGGATGGCGCCTAGGTCGGTGTGTCACATGACTCCGATGAGGTGAGCCGCACGGGTCACTTGGATACTCACGGCGGCTTCCTGGAAACAGAGATCGGTCTTGATTTCCCGATCGATAGGATATCAGTCGACACCTGATAAAGGGCGAATCTCTCAGAGAGCCTCGGAGCCCGGTCTGTGACGATCGGGCTGCCTAACGCCCTCGCCTGTAGGGGCTGCCCGCGGCTGACGACTCGACGAGGATTACCGATGGATCGTCTCACAGCTTAAATTGACTTTCTTGCTCATTCTGCGACCGCGATCCGGAGCAAGCGCTCGTCTGCGCATCGACTGTCGTTCGGTCACTCGGTCTTACTTGGGCGATTCGATCGTCCGCGCTCTCTACCATCGACTGAGCGGAAACAGGCGGCGCCGTCCGAGCTCTCTCGGCCTCACAATTCATGCTGAAGTCGATCCGAACTTCTGCGGACGCGAAGATGGAGAGGGCGCTCCCACCCCGTTTTGCCCGTCACGGTGGCGTGAAGCGTCTCTCTGGTCTGATCCATGAAGGGAACCTTGTCGTCCTCGAGGTGAATCTCAAAAATGTTATCAGTGTCGTTGACACCAGCACCGAGCACGAAAGAAGGACGATCGTCACTGCTATCGTGGCGTTTACGCCCTGAAGGAACGAATTCGAATCCTCCACGGTCCTGGGGGTCGAGCAGTATTCACCCGACTGCCCGCGCGGATGATAGAACGAAGAGCCCTCCTCATAGCCTCGGGAGAGCAGGTCCTCTGCTCCGATCGGAATTCAGATTCCGCTCACCCGAGTGAGGAAGTAGAACTCCGCTATCTGAGAATGATTACCGCCTCTCTAGACGCGTAGGTACATGAAGCTTGTTCTTTATTCAAGTACTCGGTCTTATAATCACAAGCCCTTGTCCCCACAAAATCCGTGCGTCTCTATTCTATTCGGACAAGAACTACCCTAGCTGCACCGTGAAACGTCGGACCATTGAACCATTTGACAATCTCACAGCATCGTTGACAAGTAAACAATTCTATGATCATTTCAGGAATTGAAATCGAGCTTCTAAGAGAGCACACGATGCGCACGAACCAAACTCCTTCCGCTAAGTTCCGGCATGTAGTCGAGAAGTCAGGCTTGCTCCGCGTCCGATATGCATCGCTGTTGGTATAAAACGGGATCTGCGCGTAGAAGCCACGGAAAATTCAGGCTCGTTCCCCTCTGATGCGGCGCGCCAGTTGCATGTCCTTCGGCATAATGGTGACACGTTTCGCGTGAATTGCGCACAGGTTGGTATCTTCGAAGAGACCCACGAGGTAAGCCTCTGAAGCCTCCTGGAGAGCCATGACGGCGGAGCTTTGGAAACGGAGATCGGTCTTTGAGTCCTGAGCGATTTCGCGTACAAGTCGCTGAAAAGGCAACTTGCGGATCAGGAGCTCAGTGGACTTTTGGTAACGACGGATCTCACGAAGGGCGACGGTACCGGGCCTGAATCGATGGGGCTTCTTGACGTCGCCGGGAGCCGGCGCGTTCTTGCGAGTTGCCTTGGTGGCTAGCTGCAAACGAGGGGCTTTACCACCACTGGACTTCCGTGCGGTTTGCTTCGTGCGGGCCATGATGATGATTTGGGGTTGGGACGAAGGTCGCTCCGATCACAGAGTTAAAAAGCGACTCCTCGGAACCTGATTGCACAAGATGTTGATACTCTCTGACAGATGCACATGCACCACGAGTCGCGTGCACGCTTCCAACATCACGAAGTTTGGCTGCAAGAATCGCCGTTACCCCTCACCGTGGCTCGGGTCCACGTCGGAGTTCCTCTTGCTCGGATTCGTGAATTGCGCTCCACAAACATTATCATGGCAAGACTAGATAAGCTCGGACTGACTGTCCCGCAAGGTGGCATCCCTGTCAACGCTTCAGCCAATGGGACTAGGGAGACTCGAGAGGGCTTCGGGAACCTTCTCGAAGAAGGCTGCGAGTCCCTTGGACCTGACTTCCGAGACAGATAATTCGTTCAGAGAAAAGCCTGTTCAGGCAATCTATTCTGAGTCGACCGAGGTCCTTTTTCTCGAACGATATCGGGCCTGGGAGAGTCTCAGCCCTATTCGGAGGTGCGACCCTCCTCCGTGGTTCTCCACTCGGCTGTCAGAGGCCATCGCAGTCTTTCCTTGGAGGAATCGAATGGACTTCCGCGCTCGGGAACAAGTACAAGTTTTCTGATTTCCGTCGATGGCCCTGTCCTCATGCTGGCAGCGTCCACCCGAGGGAAAGGGAATAAATAGCCTGGGAATCGAACGAAACCTAGTCTTCATCGAGATTGAATTTCTATCGGCGGAATTCATCGCGTGTAGTAGAGAAGATCGATTCGTGCCATCACGGAGCGCCTCGTCACCTCTCTTCGAGGACTCAGTATTGCTTTCATCGTATCGAAGTTCGTATCGTCTTTTTCTCTCCGATCAAATTGACCACTGTCCGATTACCTCCGTCCTTTCCTTGTTCGAACGTCCTTCGCATTCTGCAAATGTAGTGACAATACAAATCGATTCGGGCTACCGGCGGCGCGAAGAGAGTGCGGAGAGGGCTCTCCCGACGCCGACGAATCTCGACTGATCGAATATTCGATTTCGACAGATTAGCAACACACGAGCAATATCTGGTCCTCGTCTTTATTTAAGAGCTTTCGCACACAGTCCTATTCGCTTGCCTATGCCTCGCTGGCGGTCCGTTCTCCTCGGATACGACGGGCTAATCGAATGTCTTCCGCCTTGATTGTGACTCGCTTCGCGTGGAGAGCGCACAGGTTGGTGTCTTCGAAGAGACTCACGAGGTAAGCCTCGGATGCCTCCTGGAGAGCCATAACAGCGGAGTTCTGGAACCGAAGGTCGGTCTTGAATCCCTGGGCTATCTCACGAACGAGTCGCTGGAAAGGCAACTTCCGCATAAGGAGCTCTGTTGACCTCTGATAGCGACGGATCTCACGGAGAGCGACGGTCCCAGGTTTGAAACGATAGGGTTTCTTGACGCCACCGACGATCTCCTTGGGTCTCTTTTTGGCGACCTTGACAGCTCCATCACTGGAAAGTCCTTGCTTCGTGAGGGCCATGGAGATGACTCAAGACCCGCTTATCGAATGGCGGTACAATTCCTCGGATGGGAAAAAAACGGCGTTCGAAATACGATTGCACCACAGGTCGATGCACTCAGATGGAGACTGCATCACAGGAGACTCCACGTCCATGTGCACTTCCCCTCCATCGCACGTATGTGTGGAGCGATGGTCTAATTCGCTGTCCGGCTCCTTCGCCGACTAGGGATCTGAGGAACTCGACATCGAGACAGAGAGCGTTTACAGGCTTCCCGTCAAGCAATTAGGCTTGCTCAATTTTTTTTCGTTGGAGCGCCGAGCTTTCCTCCCTCATTTTCTCATGACGAAGGAGACACGCTCGGTATACCGTAGTCTCCCGGATATCTATTCGTTCCCGCAATCGGAAATGAGGGACGTCTTCTCGGAAGGGGCTCCAGGAATCGTGTGCAGGAAGACTCGGGAATGAGCGGAATCGAATTCAGATACGAGTCATAGTTTCCATCGTGGAAAAGGAACGAGAGCAGCAGTTTACAACGGGGAAGCGAGCGAAGCCTATTCTCCGTTCTGGAAGCCTCTCGGAGAGCTGTGTTCTGTTTTCAATTATTCAATGAATTCTTCCTTGAAGGTTTCGCGTTGAAACTGGCTCGCTTCTAGCGCGGCGAGGCGATTCGGAGAAGCTCTGGATCGTGTCCAATGCAGTAAACATCGTGGGAGAGTTCACGGCGCCCGAATAGTGCCGAACCAGCAGACACGTCAGAGGCTCATTCGACGTAACCAGACAAAGCCATCAGCTATGGACGAGGTGAGTCGCTCTCGGAAATTTTCTTCATATCGGAAATCCAGTGGGCTCATACCCCAGCCCTCGTGACCAAGCGTACCGTGTTCTTTCCTCCGTCCGACCTGTCGTACGGCTCAACGGCGCGCCGTGAGTCGCATACATGCTCCGCGTTCTACTGAGTCCCGTGCTCCCTTGTTCTCCGAGAAGGAATCGTGGGGAATTCTTCTCCCCTCAGATTCGCTTCCGACAGACTGAAATATTCTCCTTCTCTGAATGCAGGCCGAGAAAGCGAAAATGCAGGAACGTGAAAGGAAGAAAGTCGAAGTTCGGAAACGCCTCGAGGAAGCGAGTAAGCTTAGAGGGCGAGAAAAATTGAACAAAGGTTTCATGACCGCCGAAAGGAAGAAAAAGCTACGGGTGAGCTCCGGTTTAGTTCGGGGTACCATATTCATGAATGAGATCGCAGGGTATTCCATCGAGTTCTGAGCAAAGACAGAGCCGACATAATATTCTCTGAACATCCATAGAAACTACTCCGAGACATGAACTCCAACATGATATCCCGGGAATACGAGAGGAGGCGGCTCGCGAGAGACAAGGCCATCAAAGAACGATGCGGTCAACCGAAAAATCTCGATGGAGTCTACGATCTGAGTTCGTCATTCAACGATTGCCTCGTCTCAATACATACATGAGGGAATAATCGAGCTCGCTCACGACCACGAAACTCTTTGCAGAGGAATTGCAGGCTATCGTAGCCAGCTACCATGCGCGTATCGTTCGACTGGAGGAACAGAAGTACGATCTCGAGTACGAAGTGCGGCAGAAAGATTTCCTCCACAACGAAATGACGATCCAGGTTAATGAGCTCCGGGGAAAGTTCGTCAGACCCATCCTCAAGAAAGTTTCGAAGTAGGTTTCCTTCCTGGAGCACGGTGAATGTGAATTTCCCCTCTGTGATGAGTAATTATTGCAGCTCGAGACTTCACCCATTTTTGCATTCAAACCTTGAGTCCGATCCGGATCGATACTTCCGCTTAATCGCTGGCTTTTATTGCAGGTTCGACAAACTCAAGAAGAGCATCAGGACGGCCGAAGGGAGCGCGACGGAGAGCCTACACTTCAGTCGACAGTCGCTGAAAACTGTGAAGAAGAAAGTCATGCTCCAAGACGAGAAAGTGAGTTAGGAGACTCCGAGGGGCTCGCTTCAGCGAGCTCGATCACCGAGGGAGATGCCTGTGGCCATTAAGCTCTCGCTATCACTCGGTCTTGTATGACGAGGGCACCGGATCGCTGCCCGAAGCCCTCCACCCTAAACAGCTTCAAGAATTCCTCCGCTGTTTTCATTCCTGGAGAATCGTGACGACATTCATTCCTTCCAGACCGAACGTCCAGAATGGGCTGCGCAGAAGTCTTGCACCGAAGGCTCATCGGAACAGCGGACCTCTGAAGTAGAATAGAGGATACAGCCTCTAACTCCAAGGAGGTGAGTATTTCTCAGTCCTCTGTCTCAAGTGGAGAGCCATGTTATTCGACGCGAGCTTCTCGGCGACGCCGATGGAATGATGAGTGATTCCGGACACACCCATCCTTAATGTCTTGTGATTATTATCTGTCAAAATCTCCCCCAGCTTCTCGGAAGGATTTATCCGATGTTCGCGCGCCCGCTGCGGGAAGGAATTCATCATGAATTTAGGAGCGGAATGCTGACCGGGATTCCCAATGTTTCCGAGATCGGGAGAGATTGCCAATCTCTCCGGAAGACGATTGATTCCTCGTGACGTGTAACGATCGGGGAGGATTCTATGCAGTGCTTTTCCAGAGCAAAATTATCCGGACGAAAAGTTGTACATCCTGTCGAAGAAAATAAAATCGGAAACAGTGAGGATTACATGAAGGACCTGATGTTCTCAATCTCAAAGTGATCAGTTACCATCGTGAACCCTGGCTGCAGGGATTCTCGGAAACAGCGAAAATCTGAGAATTCGAGAGATGCCAAAATAACTGCTCGACAGGAAAGGCTCACGTCAGAACGCATCCGTCCATCGCGGATGCTTTGCACATAGAAACTGCTCCATACCAGAGTTCCTATGCCCCACCGGCGCGATCGGGGCAGACACAAAAATCATTGGAAACCTTGAAGATCGGATACGCCTACGAAACGTAAGATATCCCTGCCAGCTATACTGATAGATATCTCTCAGTTTCCTCCAAGAAAAGCTCCGTCACTTCTCACCCGATATCCTTCGGATTGGGCTCACGGAGACCCAATCTCTGGCGAGTACCGAGCACGTTCTATGTCGGCGAGCCTCGATCCGTTTTGATCTTGAAGGGTGCGCGATGGGGGGCGCTGAATTTTCTATTGCAGCAGGTCCATTTCTTGAACCCACAGTACTCGATTGATACTTCACTTTCAATCAGCATTGAAAAAAAATCCTCCAGATGGCCATGGCCCGCTCGCCCTTTTTTGGGGTACAGAATGCGGCCCCTAGCGCTTCATGAACGCTCGACTTGAACCAGACGTTTCCGGGAGGGCATCTGGTTTACGCCCTGAATCGGATGGAGAGAGCGAATCCGGAAAAATGATGTTAGAGGCATCATTCAATTACAAAGGCCAAAGCGAAATGAGGTCGCTGCGAGATGAGTCGTCGTAGAAGGTGAGTTTCCTAGATAGTGGTAGGCCTGTGAGCAGGGAGGGAGCATCTGTACTTTTAGTACACCGGTGATTGATGAGTCGAATACTTATGGATTTGAAATCTCCGCTAAGATCTGCAGGTTCATTGTGATTGGAGGGAGCGTATCTGAAGCGCGATTCTCCACGGAGGTGCTGCATGCAGGATCGTGAATGAAGACCAGGGTGGAACGGTTCAACCAGACATAGGAGAACAAAAGCTTTTATTCGCAACAATTATCATAGCGGTGTTTTATCGACATCATCACCATCGGCATCTCGGTTTTCGCATCCTTATTTCTATCATAAACTCAAACGAAAGACGCTTCGATAATCCTCTTCCATTCATGTCATTGCGTTCCAACGCGAAGTCAGTGTAGAGTTCCGTTCTTTATTTCGAGCACAGCTCGACTCGAGACGCGAGCTGTGTGTCTTTGAGGACATTCGCGACCCAGGGCTTATTCCTCTTCCTCTTCGGCACCCTCTTTCTTCGCTCCCAAGGCCCATTCGGGCTTGTCGGTCTGAGTTGGAGGGGAATAATTTATTAGGATATGTGAGTTCGATATATAAATCAACACGAGAGACGATTTCCGACTCTCAAGTCTTGGTGATCATGAGGAGTTTTGACAAACCCACCCTCGATACACAGGAGTTCCTTTTTTCCGAGCCGGAAGCTATTCTACCGGCGGGGGAACAAGTACTTTTTCCCGATAAAAAATTCATGAATGAGAAAGAAATCAAAGAATGCCGCTCCAAAAGTCGACCGAGGTAGTAAACTCAGGTTATCGGAGGGGGGCAAGGGAGGCGTGGCCCGAAGGCACGCCACTGCTCCTTGCCGAAGGCCCAAAAATGCGGAACCTCCGTTTCTCGGATGAGCGATCGATGAGAGAGAGATCGCAGTACTCTCGATATTCCAACCCCATACGCACCTGTTCTTTGCCTTCGTCCAACTTGAAATCTTTCTTGACGCTTTTGAGATTCGATCTGAAATCCACTTCGGTCTTCACGTTCTTGATCTTCATTTTGTCGAATCTGGAAAATCAGATCATGAGAGCACCGATAAGAGAAACCAATTCCGATCCGGACTTCGCCCATGAGTTTTCCGGTCAGGAGCGGGGCGAATCCTTATCTGCGAGACTTACTTCGAAACCTTCTTGAGTGAGGGCTTGACGAATTTTCCTCGCAAGTCGTTTACTTGAATAGTCAATTCGTTGATCTGCAATACAGACGTTGACGCTCACTCAGTGTATCGAGAATTTTACGTAATCGAGTATCCGAGAGATCGTTCGCAATAAAATGTGCAAGCAACTCACGAGGAAATCCTTCTGACGAACTTCGTACTCGAGGTCGTATTTCTTATCTTCGAGATCGGTGATCCTGGCGTGGTATTCCTTGACAATTTGTTGGAGAGAGGCTGTGATGGAGAACCGATGTCAATTCCAGGTGCCCCGGAATCAAAACTGACTGAGTCGGCGCTTTCCACCGGATCAAAATCGGAATTACCTTCGTTTGCTCCGTCGAGGCTTCTCGGCTGGCCGCACCTTTCGGAAATGATTTTTTTCCTCGCTTCGGCTTTGCGCTCCTGTTCCTTCTTGAGCTCGTCGGCGGCTTTCTTGCGGAGCAGAGCCTGCAACGGATAAGAACGGTGAAGTCGCCGAGAAATCGCGAGGGATCAAGCCCTGTTCGGAGCTATTAGAAAGTTGGGACGATAGTTCCCATTCCCACTGCGAGGGATTTCTTCTTGCTACTGTATGTTCCTCCATGGATTCTGAACCGACAAGAATTGCCGCCTACCCTGAGTTTCTTCTTCCTCTCGGGGGTCATGAAACCCTTCTTCTCACCGCCACCCTTCTTCGCTTTCGAAGCTTCTTCCAGCCGCTTCCGAACCTCCGCCTTCTTCCGCTCCTTCTCCTCCATTTTCCTCTTCTCTTCCTGCAACGGAAACGTATTCGTTCATGATTACTGTGACTCTCATTCGCGTTGCGAGCTCCTAAGGAGTACCGCCCGTACCGGATCAGGTTAAACACTCACCTCCGTCATTTCCGGCATGATGACTCAGGTGGGGAGGGCTGGAAAATCATCTCAAATGAAAAGCTCAGAATATGGAGTTTCCGAATGAAGCTTAAATTCGAATTTCGGAGAAGCAGACAAAATCGTCAAACGAAATTTGGACCGTATAGCTGGCTCTCTGGCCGCGGCCAGACGGAGTCGCGCCCCGGAAACGCGACGTACCGCGGTACAGATCGAGTTTCTGGATGGCATTTTTCAAAAGAGCGCTTGGTAGCAATTCCTCTCTTAAGCTCGACAGCATAGCGCAGCCTCGCCCACACCGCGACGGTGGTCAACCGAAAATAGCCCTGGTTTCATACCAGCGCTAGCGCCGCCGTCAGCCGCCTATATGGTGCTGTGGTGTTCTACTGGCCACCGAGCGATGGTTGTGCTTCACTTAAAGTGTCAGAAAGATCTTTACAGCGTTTGACAAACTCTCGAGCTCTATGCGAGGCCAGAAATGCTTCTCCGCAATGAACGAGGAGAAGAATTATTCGTATCACTTCTGCTCGGGTCTCGGGTGCCACTCCCATGAATGTCATCATCTGATAGCGACAGATAAGATTATCCGAGGAAACGCTCAGCTGTTCCCCACCGTCTCGAATCGCTTTTGTCGCGTTCCATTAACGGTCGCTACTACGAGTCGCTTCATCACGGCCAGCGATGCCGGTGCCATCATCGCTCGATTCTCGTTGGAGGGGATCCCCGGTGCACCTTGCATGCTCTGAAACCCGATATCGCGTTCGATAAAGTTTCATCATAAAGTTTTATTCAACGATACGATGCCTTCAGTCCCATAGCTGATTCGAGTCTCAGGTAATGACTGGCCCACGAGACGATCGAGGACGAGAGCCGCATGCGATACGAAGCGCTGCTTCCACTCGGTCACAGACTGTGGACAAGTCTCTCTAATCATACAGTTCCATCGTTGACGGTCATTTCTTCCGAAGCATTGAGAGATTCGCATAGCGGGCGGAATCTCTCTCTTCAGAGTCGACCTCGACTCATCAGCATCGGTGCATGGCAAGGAATATGTGTCACGCGGTTTGTTTGCTTCGGACTTCAAGCTCGAGACGCCGCGTGCGACTGAATCGCTCCGATTCGCGAACACCTGCATCACGAGGTGCGCTATCGATTTATTCGTCGGTGCGTATTCACTGCGACCGCTTCCCATAGACACCTCGGACTGTCCCGCGGGGGGGCTCCGTTAAGCAGCTCAAATCCTTGAACGGCAGAGTTTCGAAGCGGAAGCTCTCATTCGAAGCTCATTGAGGATCGTGAGCTCTTGTTCGTCCCTGCTCATCGAGCCGATCGGTCGTGTTCCAGCTAGGGCTTGTTTTCTTCTCGAAGCTATATTTAGTAGGAATGAGGTTCAAACCCGGTTTACACATTTCTGCCTTGTGTCTTTAAAAATATACACCGCTCGAGTTCCTACAGACACATTCGACTGTCTGGGTAAGCGCGTAGCTCACAATACAGGACACCAAGGGTCCTTCAAATGGTGATCTCTCTTTTTCCTATGTCTCCGCAGTTCCTGAGAATGATATCTCTCAGGGATTGAATATTCAAATGATCGAGGTGTCCCGGCGGAGATCAAGCATTGCGGACGATTCGCGCTTATGTAGCCGAAGAAGCGCGCGTAAGGCTCAAGCCGATCGTGTCCATATCCGCCACGGGAACCCATCCGGGATTATCTCCCCGGATATTGTCAGATGTCAAAGGCGGACGAACAAGCGAGTGAAGCGAGTTGATCTTGACATCCGCATCGACATCACAGCAGTAGCCCACAGGTCCTGTCATTCATTAAAAAGGCCTTTGTAAACGGCTGACGCGCCGCGGCGAGCGATCACGAGATCGTGTGTAGGCACTTGAACGCTTCTAGATGCGTTCCCAAATAATTAGCTCGACACCTCGAGGGGAACCCTTTGTCTCTTGCGTCATCCGAGTCACGGCTCGGTTTCCGTGATGCATCACAACAAACATGCGCATTTGCTGCAACGATGGGCTGTTATGACTGTTTCCCATGCTTTACGGGTGTCGGACATGAGTTCGGTATGGAAACGGCTCCAAAATTCCAATGTCGAGACTCCCAGGGTCCAGCCGGCTATGTATCGTGATCAGGAGCGCCCTTTCAGGTGGTGTTGATCGAGAGAGGAGCCCTCTGGCTCGGAGCGGAGGGCCTTTCCGGGATTATGATCTCCGAGGCTCCGCGAAGACCTTTTCGAGGTCCCAATGATAAGCTTAATTATTGGAGCGGATTGTTTCTTGAACCGTCTCGGATGAGGCGGGATAGCTCCCTGCAACGCATCATTTTGGATGAGGTTCACAATTTGTTGTGGCGGCGGCGGCGGCGGTGACAGGCTCGCTGGTCAGTCGCTGCGCTGGCTCTCGGTAGATGTAGTCGAGTTTGGTCCCATAGGCTCTTCTCATACGGGACTCAACCACCCACACTGGCTTGCTGCCGCTTCTTCCTCTACGGCCGACTTTCGTCGAGCGAGCTCTAGAGATATGAGATTTGAGTTCAAGGCTCGAACTGTGCCTGCAAACCCGTTTGACCACGCCTTCCGGTGACGCTGGGATGCACTAACGCCTTGATTATAAACAACTACAATCACTCTACTTGGCTGTAGTTGTTCCAAAATATCCGGGGTACTACACCTCTACCGGATCACAGCTGCCCTGATGCCGATGAGGACTTGCGCTGGTTCGCAAACTTCCTAGTCCATCGCCTGATTTCGATTTTCGCTAGTCACATTTCAGGGATGATTTTTTTCCGATGTTCGCCCGAGACTCCCACCGGAATTCTCCCGACCGAGTCTTCGGACTGTAACGCTCGAGACAGACCGCCCGGAAATATTTTCAGCACCTCGCATAATTGAGGGAAACCGAAAATGATATCCGGCCTGATTCGCCTCGTCTCTTGGAACGGAACTCGCGGTCCCGAATACCTAGCTCAATCGAGGGATCCGAATTTCCGCGCCCCTTTTTTCCAGGATCTAGCATTCCACAGAGGCACCCACACGTGGATTGCGACTCGGTGGAGGGCGTGACATACTCGTGGTGGTCCGGGATTGACACGGCGCTTCGGCTCTGAGCGGATCGCTTCTCACAGGCTTGCACAAAGTCACAACGAACCGACTGGAGACGCTCTACCTCGGACCGAAAATTCGCAAGTGAAATCGAAGTCGACAAGGACACCCGAATCGACTGTCTGGTCCTCCACTCTCCTGATGGCACTTCGGGAGCATGCGGTGAATCCCGGAATCGGACGGCACACAGCAGCCTTACCAGGTCCGTGGCGGAGTTCCACTTTCCGCGGATGACCGAAATCGGAAAACTCGGAATACACAGACTTACTGCGGGTCTGTCGAGAGAGGTGAGGTGGCAACCGGATTCGTCAGGAGATGACGTACCTGTGTTCGTGCTGGCTTTCTAACGAGGATGTCTCAGCGAACTCGCTACCAGAGTCTCGCCCGTCCGAAGAGAGGGTGTTCGCTCGTTGCCTGAATGGCCGATTCTCCGACTGGCGACTTGGCAAACCTACGGTCCGAGTTGTGACTCATGCCGCCTGCAGTCTCTTCCAGCAAACAGCGCCATATTTTCCCGCGCCTGAAGCAAACCTCAAAAACGATCTCTACGAGGAGGTAATTTCGAGCGAACGAGGCGCTCACGGAAGCGTTCTGTTCCCGATCGATTGGGCTTCAGCCAGAATCGCGCACGTCGGACTCATTCGAGCCCGGAATCGGGAGGAGCAATGTTGCGCAATTCGCAATTGCGAGAATCAGAATCGCTCCGGCTGGTCGCGGGTTCGCAACAATTATATGATGGCCAGCCATGCAGCGTTGACGTTGCGGGAACCGTGGGGCGCGAGAACAAGATACATTTGGGCCAGCAAGGCGGACAGGATCAGGGGGTCTAGCTGATTGCGAGGCTGCGTATCGACGCAAACTCCCCAACCACCGACAGATCGGCCTACCTTCGAAAGCGTGAGAGCTTGTGTAGAGCATGTCGCATCATCACCGAGCCCGCGTCCGCGAATGCTGGAAGAATCGAGACCGAGTCCAATATGGAGCAGAAATGTTCGAGTCAGTCTATCACGTCCCGAGTTTGGGATCGCCGTACCGTCCAATATCTCATGGAGTCGCGAGGAATTCTGTCCCAGATGGTTTCGTCTGCTCCCTTACCGTGACACGTCCAATCCCCGTTTTTATCACGAGTGGACTCGAGAGCCAGAATTCCGGGGAACGGTATTTCGAGCACCCGGATTAAGAGCGATTCATGATCCAATCTCCAGCCACGAACCAGCTCTGCCGACAGAGTCATTGGGGGCTCCCATTGCCTCGAACCACGTTCCGGACTTCCCGCGATGCAGCTCCCGCCAGAGCTCCACCGACAAGAACGCTGAAGTCAATCAGTCTGGTTTTTTTTATATTTTTTTTTCATTTTTTTTCACAGAGGTCCGGGAGAAATGCATTTACACACGCACGGTCCGAGGTGATGACGATGCTCTCGGGACCGGCAATTTAGGACTCGCACCTTGCGGTGAATAAAACTAAATAAAATAAAACACCCACTAAAACCCTTCTCCTCTGTGGCCCTTCCCGGGGAAGGGGGGGGGAGTTTGAACCGGCCTGGGGGTCATTACTTCGACTCCTCCTCCAGTTGAGATTTCTGTCAGCCTCGACCGGAGGATCTCATCCCTCCGGCAGAGTAACCAGGGACACCGCCGGGAGCGCCCCGTTTCTTCACGCGAAAACAGGAAAAACGAGATTGTTCGTTATGCTGGGAAATGTGCAAAGGAGAGGAGTCGATCCCTGTTTCTTCACGAAGGGAAACAGGAAAAACGTGATTATTCGAGGAGCGATGGGAGGGCACTGGGCGACACGCTGTGTCGGGTCAACCATCAGTGAGCTCGTCCGGTCTCCCCAGGGGGAGCGACGGCAAGAGGAGGAAAGCTGTCGGGGCGGCACGTCGTTCTCCAAGAATGCCGTTCTTCAGGGCGATTACAGCCCGCGCGAAATTGACCTCCACTCCTCGGGGCTTCTGAGCATGAAGGAGACGAGTGCAGAGCACGAGGAGTCCCCCGGTAGATGAGTCGCCCTTCGAAACTCCTCCGTGAGCTCGAGCGTCCCGCTGCAGGCCTCGAAAGTGCGTGCGGCGTCGTTGTTCTCCCCTGAGGTGCAGAGCACGCAAGCCGGAGAGTCCCACTTCCCGAAATCAGTCTGGGCTGAGGACACTCCTCCAGTCCTCGGTGCTAAACCCGGCCGGAGCGATCAGACATTTGGCCTCGAGGAGCTCTACCATCCTGGAAAGTCTCCATTGTAACGACATCACACGGCCTCGACTGGATCATGATCATTCCTGTTATCTGGGTTACAACGATCCTCTAAAAAAGAGCGGCAGAATTTCCGAAGTCACTCACCTGCGCGAATTCGCGATCACGGTTCACTAATAGAGCTATGCAAAGTCTCGGAAATCTTCGAATCGAGACATTTCGGGCTAACATCGCCTAGGAGAACTCATACTTATGGGGGGTACACACAGACTACGACCGAATGCTGATACGAAAGAATTCGAACAATACGGGTCGAATATTTGTTTGCCCGAGGCATCTCCGCTTCCCTTCTCTCTTTTTTCATCGAACCTCTCTTCTGGATTTCTGTGGCACGCATTACTTTGTTTGTTTTCATTCGCATGTGCGTGTCCTCTTCTTTCGCGCAGCTCCGGGATCACCGCTTTCTCAAGTGAGTGCACATCACCGTCTCCTGAAGCTTTCACCTTACCAACGAACGTTCGCCGTGCTTCCCGAAGGCGAGGAGGCTCATGAAGTTTCTTCGAGTGGCCCCATCATGTCGGCCCAGGGAGATTCCCTCAGACACTCTGCTAACGGACAGAAACTGGCATTCAAGTGCGACGGAGTCTACGGCTTTGGGTCTTCGATTGCCGTCAAGTGTAACTACATTGTGCATTTCGTTTGTGAGCGGAGTGGCGCTTTTTCCGGACTCTCGAAGGACGGTGAGAACGACGAAGGCGCCGCCGGAGTCAGCTCGTATTCCCTTCCCTCCCATCTGATGATGATGAGCTCGGAGAGCTCTCTTCCAGCAGCCTCTCTCTCGGTTAGGAGATTCGGGAACAGATTTCGCGAGGGACCGGGAGAGACTCGTGCGGGAGACTCGGGCTGGCGGGCACGATGAACTGTATTGGAAGGCATAGCTTCGGATATGGGAATTCCACCAATTAAGCGAAAATATATGCCGAGAGCCGTTCTTGTCTCCGAAGGTCGATAGTCGAACCAAATCGATACACAGGCATCATTTCCACGTCCGATCCAGACTGGCCCGGTGATCTCGCCCGGAGGATCGAGAGAGGTTTGAGAGGAATCGGAGTAGGAGAATCGATTGACGGAAATATACCTCCGAGAGATTCCGCTGCCCATTCGACACTTCGTTGAGCTTGCTTCTGGCACTGGTTGAGGAGAGTCGGAAGATAACTCCCAGGAGGGGACGATTCCCAACTCTGCCCTCGATAGCCGATATTTACCGGGAAATACTTCTCGTTGAATTACAGAATGCATTTCCTCGACCTACCGGAAAGTGTTCTGCTCGGTATCGCGGCAAACCTCGACATCGACGCCTTGATCCGTCTAGAAGAGCTACATCCCCGTTTCTGCCGTGAAATAATGGGAAAACCGCGATTCGTCACCGAAAAAAATCTAACATCCTTCCATCTGGAGTATCTGGAAACGACTGGGGAATATGTTCGTTTGATCGACCTGGAGAACTACGACATGGATGAAGATTGCCCTGAGAAAGGAAGCTATCTGGTGGAGCTGACAATGAAGTGCCCTCTCACCACGCACCTGAACATGGTACGAACGGGGCCATACTTCGAGCGCTTCTTGGAGCTTCTTTATCCCTTGGAGCACCTGACGACGCTGTGCATCAGCATGAAGGTTCTGAGTTTCCGCTTCTATCCCACGGAGCAGCATCGACGACCTTTCCGGAACTTAGAGCAGCTTTTCATCGAAGCTGAGCCCGAGAGTGTGGCCTTCGATCTACTCTTGGATTTGATCAATTCATGTATGAACCTCAAAAAGTGTCACGTCAACGTCACGGACAAAGTCTTCCGAGACTGCATCCCTGACGATCTATTGCCTTACGAAAACCATCCACTGAGAATGTCGAAAGTCGAACTTTGGGGAATGGTCGACATATTCGTATTGACCTGTTATGTGCCGAGCTTCGATCCCGCATGCATAGCATTGACGAGAGCTCTCTTCGGTAGTGTTCCGAGCGGAATGGAGGAGAGAATAAAATGGACCCGGGGTTGCATAGTTTATCAACGCAAGGGCACCGAAGAACTGACTCTCCCACTCAATGAGCATTGGGGTAAATGGCGCTGTTCACTCGCGCATCAGCGTTCGGCTAGCATCCAGACCGACTTCTGACTGACAAGGGTTGAGGGCACCCCCGTCGCTGCCGTTCCTCTTCCTTTCCGCACACAATGCGATGCTGCGTAGAGCAGTTGATCGAAAAAAATTCATTCGAGATTCTCACATGACCTTCTTGACGATTCTTCTCTGGATCGGCATGAGGGTATCCGAGACGGCGACTTGTCTTTGCTGACTTGCACTATCCATGTTTTATATTCTTTTCTATTAGACGAAGTTTTTGGTTCCGATTCTAGTGCTGGGGGCTCCAAGAATTTCTTCACAAATTGTATCGAAGACTCTCTGATACTCTCGACTGGTAGGCATCTTGCATCGTACCCAAGATCATAGGACTTGCGACGATGACTTGCTTATCCGTTGCGAAAGCGTTCTGGCGGTTTGGTTGCTCGAAAATCGGCGAATGACTTTCGCGTGCAGCGAAAACCTTGCGATGCACCAGCTCTACATGTAAGATCTTCCACATGCCAATGCACTTAGGAGAGATATACATATATGTAAATACGCAATACTTTCGGTCTTTCCGGAGCCGGAGCACGCGGTTCAGCGGGGTAGGAGGGAAGCTGTCAGAGTCCTAACCATGACTCGGAAAATAGAAGCCCGTTAGCCGTCGGGGCGGTTCGGGCCGAATGGGCCAGATACTCATTGGTAGGGAACTCGAACCTACCAAGGAAGAAAGCCGCATTGTAAGGATGAAATCGATTCCTATTGATCCTGATAACGATCATCAGACTGTGATTAAATACATGAGATTTTCGATTCAAATCGATCAATTCATCGGTAGTCTTTTCATTCGGATGGACACACGGGAGGCCGGATAATATCTATAAGCTATGCGCTACCCCGCGAATTCTTCAATTTCCCCCCCCAGGCCAGACGAAAACATGTTCGTAATGCGAGGCAGCTCGGAGCTCCGCGATAATTTCTAGGACTTTGCACGAGACAATAGCGGGAATAGCGGGCAGTTCGTCGTGGTGGATGCATAATGGATGATGAATTCTCCCGGCGGTCAGCAAGAGTTTCGGATCGACTGAATCCACGTCTCGCGGAAGTCGACAAAAGAAGTCGAAGCTCCTAAGCGGCAAGGCTCCGACCGATCCTCGTAGCCGATTCTTGGTAAGACACCAAACACCTGTCCAGGGAGGGTCAGTTCGTTTTACGGACGAACAAGTGAGCCATGACGCGGTTTCCCAGGTGAAGCTTCGTTTCCCGGGTTACGGATGCGTCAAACCGTTGGTCAGTACGCCGTGTGTGGAATAGCTTACGCGGCTGGGGCCGTGGCAAGCCCTGTAATCCTGCGTCTGGGAGGCCGGCTTTTGGGGTGAGATCGGACAATTCGCCGTCAGAGCTCAGCTGGGGACGGCAGCGCTGGGTCCGGAAGTTCCTCTGCTATGTTTCTGCTGCGGGGTTGCTCCCTCCGCTGCAGGGACTTGGATTGATCAATCAAGAGCGCACGGTCAATCTAGGCATCGAGTGGAAGCTTTCGATCTCGACCGAGCTCCGGTTGACCGACCTGTACGTCGCTGGATTCCCGATCCTAACCAGAAGCCCCTTTTGTACTCGCCGAGCATCTGTCTATATGCGAACGTAGTCAGGGCCGGGAATTCACTGAGAATCGTTGGATGGGAGGAGCTGAGCCGATGTCCCAGCCGCTGAAGTCTCCGGTTCGGAGCCCAGTCGCTCAATGGCGACCTGAATCATCTTCATGGAATCCCCAAGATGTGAAAACAACGAAAAGAATGTTCTCAAAATCTGCCAGTGTTGTAATTTTTTTCGTGAATTTTCTGGTGAATCCGGCTGCGTGCACGAGACCCATCCTCACTGACTTGGACGTTCTCCGACGATACGATGGATCGGGAGTCACCTTGGCCATGACTTGGTTCCCGGGCCGATGTTTCAAACCCACTGATCGAGTAGATTACGCCCCGCCTTGCAAGATCGATGCTCTCCGAGCTTTCTGGACGATCAAAGAAGTGAAAGGCCCGCTCAAAAACTGCGGGAGATTCGGGAACGAACGAGGTGAGTCCACCGCCTGGGCTTTTCCCAAACGAGATCCCAATCTCCGTTTCTGCTACGAAATCCTCATCGATCGTGACTGGAGACCTCTCAGAAAGCCTCAGGAGCAGCAGCTCTATGATCTTTGAACCAATATGTAATTATTGTATGATGAATGATAAATAATATGTTGCGCTTAGGAACATGTTTCAATGTGAGGCCTTCATTGCAGTACCATGGGATCTCAAAGAACGCCTGACTGAGATCTGGCCGTCGTTTCACAGCGAGCCGAGCGAGTACGAGAATTTCTGGTTGAAGGAATTTGACAAAGACGGTTCCTGTTTCCGTAGGCAAAATCACCCCCTATTCGGATCCGTGTGGAAATTCTTCTCCGCGTCGCTCTATCTCGCACTGCAGCGCGATGTTTTCCGTGAGTCAGTTTCCGTGGCGGGAATTCGAGTTCCGTGACGAGCCCGGAGTCTGAGTTTTGACGAAGAGCTCGTAGCTGAAGACCTTCATTCTCACTTCAGAGGTTCTGGCGCTGAGAGGTATACTGCCTTCGAAAGGTGCTTACTCAACGAAGCTTATCGCTGAGACCCTGGAGGAATATCACACCGGACGAGTTCGCCTACTCTGCGGGAACAAGCCGGATTTTTTGATGGATGTGGAGTTTTGCTTCGATGATTATCTCCGACCTCGGAACTGCTCGAGATTGCCATTCATGGAAACGTGCGGAGAATACGTTTTCTATCCACCCCCACCGTCGGTACCGAGAAAGGTTCATATCGTGCTGGGAGAGACACGGAAAAACCACTCGGCACCATAGGCGAGCACAAAGCTCTCCCGAATGAGAGAAGAAGCACCCGAGTGACCTCCGGGTGTCGGAGAACTCCCGCCGATTCTCTCGGCCACATAATAAACCACAGCGGAAAAGCGGAACGATTTTTGCGGTCGGAATCCTATCTTTAGTCAGACTCAGTCGGCGGTGCAATAAATTAGGTTCTGAGCTCCCCTCCGGACACGGAGCTTGAAGTATTTGCACATGTTATGAGCTCTCAAACGCCGTGCCTCGGGTTTTCCGATTTACGTATCGAGTGCGTTCCCGACGACGACACGGTTTTTCTGACGTCGTCGGCACGGCGCCTCGGTCGAGCATCGTTCGCGGTGGTGGTATCTATCGGAGGTGGTTGAACACCGGGTTGGCTAATACGAGTCTGAGCGTTGTCAGATACCGGGCCGCGTAGTGTGTTTCTACTCGTGAGCAGCGGATCAGCTGAAGAGACAATGTCATTGAACAGTTTGTGAAATCTCAAGTTCTCGACAGCTCGCCTCCGAGCAGCTCCCGGATCACAGGATGGAGTTTCCCGCTAGCGCCGTCGGCGTCATCTCAGCGTGCGTGCTTGCCCTGCGACCGTGGAGTCTACATATCTCACTGGAGCCAGTAGCCTTAGGAGCAGCCTTGGCTTACCGACTAGGCAGCGGTTTTAGTATTTGGGCTTTTCTCGGAGCCGCTCTGACGGCGTTGTGCGTGCACTCTGCGGGTAACGTAGTCAACAGTTATTTCGACTACGCGAAAGGCGTCGACTCGACCTCCGTGCTCAGCAGCGACGCACTGGTCCGACTCGGAGCTGTGCTCTACGCTCTGGGTCTGGCTGCTTTCCTTGTGCAATACACATCATCCCCCGACGGACGTCTGTTGGCCCTCGTGTTCTTCGGAGGCATGTGCTGCTCCTTCCTGTACACCGGGGGTCCCGGATTCAAGTATATCGGGCTCGGAGACGTGCTTGTGATGGTGACGTTCGGGCCCCTGAGCGTGCTCTACTCGTTCTTGTGCCAAGTGGTTGTTTTTAGCCCATCGAGTTTGATCTCTGTTTTGCTGTACGCCGTGCCCCTGGCGCTGAACACCGAGGCGATACTTCACGCCAACAACTTAAGGGACAGGGTTGCCGACTCACGAGCCGGCATCGTCACCATGGCGGTGGCAATCGGTCCTCAGCTGTCGCATGTGATGTACGCGGTGCTCCTCTTCGTCCCCTATATCGCGTTCGCGGTCGTAGCGTTTGCGTACGGGGCCATTTCGATGCTGATGCCTCTCATAACGATGCCAGCCGCTTTCCAACTCGAACGCGAATGCCGGTTCGGGCATCACGCAGAGCTCGATCGACACACCGCTCGACTCAACACGTACTTCAGCGTGTTCTACGTGTTGGCCGTTGCGATGGCGCAACGACTCCCCGGTTTCGGTCCGGTTTGAAAGCAGACACCGTTCATTGTTTCCACGGAGAATATATATTTATATTGAGATACATGTATGTATATGAACATTTTTACGAACAAATGTATGTCTGCGGAGATACGCGTGCTGCACGGATATATGTACTTTTAGAGGATTGGACATGAGGACCTTAATAATAAATGTCAATAGGTGCCCATTTTTTCAATGCGGAAGATTCCTACTCAAGTTTCGGATCGCGGATTATCTTTTTTTTTCCGATGCCGTTCATCAAGGTAGTCGACGCTTCCGTCGTTCATCTGCGTACGCTCTTCTCGACGGCACCTCGTTGTGGATGTGTCAGGAGAAGGCCACGACCGGGGAATAAGGGTCTGGTGCCGACGCCATTATCCCCCTTGAGCCGGGAACACAACCCACTGTCACGGGAGGGGATCCGCTAATATTCTCAGAGTAAAGAGAACAAATGAGGATGAGCCATTATTAATCGAGTCAAGAGCTTTATAATTTACAAAGAACATTCTTCCCTTTTATTCAAATACCTATGACAGCAAAAGATGTCCTTGATCTCTCTTGAATCACACACTTGATGACATACATCCATACGAGACGAGCACACGCGGGAGAAGCTTCCCGGCGGACAGGTCGCTCGCTCAAGTCCAAGCTTCCCACATGATCCCCCCAATTTGACACTATTGGTAGCTCACATCAAGCGTTGTTCAGTCGTAGACTTCCCTGTGTGCTCGTATCTCATTCTCTGCACCGACTAACGGGTCTGCCTCTCGGGAGCAACATCTCGGGTTTTCTCAGCTCTTCAATCAATTAACTTCTTGGATTTGAAGAATCGCCGCAAGTACAGAATCTGCCAAACGACTAGGCCCATCAAACACAGCATCCCTATCATCGAGGAGTACAGAACTCTGTTCGCCGTCGACTCGTTCGTGTCCCGCATTTCTTCTTCCCGCTGTCGCATATGAGCGAAATCTGCAGTTCAGGAGAAATTAGTAGAGGGATACACCGTCGAATCGATGAGGATGCAGGCATAGCGTTAGGATTCGAAAACTGAATATGGGCTCAGGTCTCTCGCACGAATCGCGGATGGCGTGGATGAGGAGAGAGGCGCCAGAAGGCTTCTCTTTCGCGAGAAGTTCAGGACACGAGCCCATAATCCGACTCACCTTTGACAATGCTTTCACTGAGATCTTCTAGCTGTTGCAGCTTGACTTCCAGGGGCTTGAGTTTCTCGACTTCGGCGAGCTTGTCGTAATTGATCGCTTCGGCGCCATGCTTTAAATTCAATTGAATTTCGCGATCCTGGCCCTGGACGCCCGGCAGCAGCTTCGTGATGAAACAGACCTATCGAGAGAATTTAGAAATTTGACTCAGTGTGAATTACTCGGGCGAGATGACCGATATGGTATTCTTCGTCCATCATAAGCGTGGAAATTTGAATATTGACTTCATCAGCTCACCTCGAAAACGTCATATGAGTCGGTTGTGAACGCGAATTTTCCCTTATCGCCATGGATGTTCTCTCTGTGCGCTAGGACCTGCCCGTTAGTATCCGTTACCTGCGAAGCAATAGGCGATTGAGGAAAAACTTTTTCGGAATGATCGAGCGTTCATTTTTCGCGACTCCTCATGGAGTAAATGTCTCGAACAACACCGCTCGCAGCTGTATCAAAAAGGCACTCCGAATGTCGATCCGGGAGCTGACTCTGCACGGATGATAGAAAGCATCTGATCCCCCCTCTATAGGAATCTTCGGCTGCTTATTTTCGGAGATTTCGATCTGAAGAAATCGAAGCAAGCATGACTGCAACGAAAATCGATCCGGAGGAACGAGCCAGCTGATTGAATCGAGTGGAAACCGGCTTGACATGCGTCTCCGACACAGAACCCTCAGAGCGCCACAGCATTCAATTTTCCGTCGCACATGTGTCACAAGCGGACTATCATGGAACTTGAGGGCTCCTTGAAGCTTCTGCTTCATGAATTCATGACCCGTCGGTAATTGTGGTATTCGGCACGTCGGAGCACGATTGGAGAACAGGATATTATGCGAAGTTCGGAAATGTCCTGAACACTTCTGTAGCCAAAGTGAAACCCGAGAGCGAGTATCGAAAATAAAAGCGATCCCCGGTCGCCTCCCGCAGGCCGCCGATAGGATTCGAGTGTTTCCCAAATCGGAAATCCATCAGCTTCCTCCGAAATGGACGTTTGAGCTGAACCGGTTGAAATTAGGAACGGTTTCCGTCTGAAGTTTGACACAACAGCTGGTGTGCGGAAGACCGCCCTCGGGTGGGGTATCGGAGGCGAATCTCCAGAGACCTTTTACGATAGACGGTTCAGGTACAGCTCCGGAACAAAGTGCTCGAGTAAAGTAAATCGGATATACTCACGACAAGGTCTGTTTTGTGTCCAGGAGAATCGGAAAGCATGAACTCGCCGGATACCAAAACACCCTTAAGAACTTCCTCCTTTAGACATCGTTTACTGTTGGGTTTTAGGAAAAACGTGATGCCATGAATTCCTTGAGCCAGGCAAACCGCCACCACGAAGCAGCGGAGCCACATCTTGCAAATTTAAAATTTCAGGTTCTCTCGTGACGTGTAATTCGCAAAGACAGTCGAGCCGGCCAGCTGACACACGCGGTGGGAGAAGCTTCGCTGCTGAGCGTCTTGAGGATCCAAACAAGACGTCTCTAAGAGTTCCACCCTGTTATTGGGCTCGAAGCTTCAGCAAAACTTCCAATTATCCGCGGGAATATCTGGCGCCTCGCCTCTCCGTACCTCGTTCACGGGAATACGGCCCCCTGTCGTTCCCAACATCAGCGCTGACATTCGAAGCTTCTATGCGACCAAATTCAGCTTGAAAGCGCAAATAGTCCTATCGCTTAGCGCTAGCGCTAGACCTGAGGGTACCAATCTGACGGAAGAATTAGAATCCGCCTTGCAGGAGAATGACTCCGGGTTCTTCAGGCGGTACTCTTCATCGTTTAGCGTTATCGTCCTCAATCTTTCGAAATCTCGAATTAGGAAGGGTGAAGAGCACATTGCCTCAACGCCGACATGCGAGCTCTAATCCTGGAGCCCCCGAAGGAGACGTCTTCTTCAAAGGAATGCAGGATTGAGGATTTCCTGAACGAAATACGCCATCTCAGTGGACGTCATGGTGGTTAGATTCGGTGTTTCTCGGTTCAGACCTAACACGTCAAGGAATTTCTCGACGAGTGTGTAGGACTGGTAGCGCCCCCTGCTGGACCTCGTGGAGGGAACCAAACACCAGATAGACGACGGATCACTTCTTCGATAGCCGGCGACGAACTATCCGATCCTACGACAACCATGCCTCGTGAACGTTCCTTCATCATGATTAAGCCCGACGGAGTCCAGCGAGGACTTGTCGGCGAAATCATCGCCAGGTAATTTCGATTGGGATGTCCTAGTTTCGATTGGTATCATCGATTTTCTACGCCACCGAAACTCCGGCTGGGAGTCGCCGGTTCCTCCGGTTATTAGGGCTAATAGCGACGAATTACGGGTTTTGCTACTGGGAACTGTGTGAGAACTCCCATCGATCGTCTGGAGCCCAGTGCCGGTCGCCGGTGAACGGCGGCTCAGCGTCCCAACTGAATGAATCATTGACTGGGGCAGCTTTGAGGCGACAAACTTTTTGACCTTGATAACGTGATAGATCCAACGCGGCGATCCGAGCCGGCCATGTCATTTTCCAGGCGGCGGAGATGGTGTTCATTTTTCGATTCCTCCGAACACGGTCGCGGCAGTTTCCGAAAGGAAAAATATGCGGAACCCCCGATTTGTATCGGAATAGCGGAATAACTCGTTCCGAAGTCAATAGATGGCGAGAAGGGGCGATTTTTCGGGAGTTATTCGATCAGAACGCGCGGTGGAACGTTGTGCTCGTCTCCTGGGGCAAAACAGTCCACGTGGTCCCGCTCCGTCGTGTTCCCTACTGCGACAGTCGGTCAACACTCTTGTGTCTGGCTGTGCAAACGGGACGGGGCGCGGCGATGATCTTCGTGTTTCACGAGACATGCTGCTATTTCAGCTCTCGAATCCGAAATATATTTTGTCGAGAGCCTTTTATATGTTTGCGGGGAAGCCGAGACCCTGATGATCACATATCCTACGGGTTTGGATTCTCTAGGAAACGGAATATATGTCGATGCACTGACTCAAGTTTCTCTCAATCCATCAGATTCGAGAAGCGTGGTTTCAAGCTGGTCGCCATGAAGTTCGTCCACGCTTCGAAGGAGCACCTCTCCAAGCATTACGCCGACTTGGCTGGACGTCCTTTCTTCAACGGACTCGTGGACTACATGTCTTCCGGACCTGTCGTTCCCATGGTCTGGGAAGGTACCGACGTTGTCAACACCGGCCGAACCATCATCGGCGCGACGAACCCCCTACAGTCGGCCCCCGGAACCATTCGTGCTGACTACTGCATTCAGGTTCGTGATCAGGAGTCGTCAAACCCCCCCGAGATCGACCGCCCAAACGATAAGCCGGTCTTTTCGTCATTGAATGAGCGATTCCGAACGAAAACGCCCGTGAGCCGAGTCCTTCACCAGATTGAATTTCTAGTGGGAATCAGCGGAGATCCTTGCTGTCTTCCCCGAAGAGCCCTGGATCGCTTTGCAGTTTTGCTCTCACTCAGTTCCTCTTTCGATCGATAGCTGTCTATGTGTATTGTTGGATCACCGGTCGAGCGGAGGCAACAGCTCCTGTCACGGCATACAAGTCATCACAGCATGTTGATTTCAGGTTGGTCGAAACGTCATCCACGGCTCTGATGCGGTCGCCTCGGCCGAAAAGGAAATCAACCTGTGGTTCAAGCCTGAGGAAATCGCTGACTACAAGAGCTGCGCCGAGAGCTGGATCTACGAGGACTAGAAGCTTTAGGACTTTGTCAAACAACGAATAAAGTAACTTATCATTTGGACCACGAAGCCTCACTGAAGGCAAGAATCCCCCGTGTAATCAATCCACACCATGGGCAAGGCGGGAATGGGGGCGAACGTGTGATTCGAAATGTGTCTCCTTCCTAGATCAGGCAGGGCGAGTCCGGTTCGAACGGAAGTCGTCCCGAAATCGCTGGTCCGGTGGTCTTTCCTCTGATGATAGTCGCGCGCTGTTCCTGACGGGCGATCGGGGGAAATCGTTCATCTCTCACGGTGGTTTCAATGCCTCTGATCGAGTCAACTTTTGAAGATGGAAAGTAATTTATTAGCTGTCGATGAAGGCTCCTTGAGGTAATACATATGCTCTCCGTTACAAAACCATAGGCATGTAAGATTGGATCTGTTGATAGGGGGACAGTTGTTGAGAGACGGCGGGAAGCGGACGCGCGAGATATTGCCAAGTGAGCACTTGGGGCGGAACCTGGGGGATCTGATCGCGGACTCCGGGGATCTGGAGCGGACTCTGATACGATGGTACTTTCGGCACCTGTCGGTAGGGTACAATTGGCACCGGTACGAAGCCGTGCACGCTATAAGACTGCACTCGGCTGTAGGCTACTTGTTGCGGAAGCGGTACGAAGAACACCGTTGCCGGGAAGTCTTGCGGTTTCGGAACGGATCCCTCCAGCTGATGAGCGGGCATCTGGGGTTGCACGAGTACTCCTTCGACTTGCTGAACTGGTCTCGGAACGGCAGGCTCCTTCTCCGTGATGTCGGTCACTTGATCCACGCTCTGTAGAGATTGGTCTACGCTGGCTTCGTCGACCCGTCTGATGGTTTTGTCCGCGGCCTCGGTCTTCTCCTCGATTTTCACTGGTTCAGAGGGACTAGTCACGGTCGTGACAGCGACAGGATGAGCCTGGGCGACCAGAAGGTCCACTGGAGCTACCGAGTCCGGGTCCTTGACCTCGACCGAGGCCCGAAAACCATTTTCGTCCGCGACGTAATTGACCACCCGCTCACTTCCATCCGGTTGTTTGACACCGTAGCTGCCGATTTTCACACCGGGACTTCCCGTCTCCTGATGGAAAGATCCCCCTTCACTGGCGTAGCCGAAAGCATAATTGCCTTTCTCCTGTGGGGAAAAGAGAGCATTCATTCCTAATTCGCGACGGCGGGAACAGAGGAATTCAGGGAAGAGGAAAACTCTCTCTCTCTCGAACTGGAATCCAAAACTTCTCTCCGCGAGTTGATCTTCCGACGCGATGGGGGGAGCGCAGGAGCATCACCAAGGACCGACTTACGTTTTCCGAACGATAGCTCCTGCCAGGTTGTAGGGGTCCGGCGAAGACACAGGCCACGATTGCAGACAGAATGATGAAGCTTCGCATCTTGGTTTTCTGCGTTTCAAACTGACAGAAGTCTTCACCGGCTCAGCTTTTATACCGAGGATCGCGATCCGACGAGAGAACCGGAAAGCCTCTCACCACCCAGAACATCACTCCCCATGGCTGGACTCCTCATTTTGAAGACACGCTACTGTAACTAAGGGACTTGTCAGAATATCTGACCGAGCCATGTATGTTGACTTCATGGAATTTCTGCTGTCGTCACGAGGATCGATTCGGCTCCCAGATCCGTGCTTCCGGGTCCGCTGGGAGACAGAGGAAAATCTCCGGAGGACTCTGAGCATTCGAATCCGAGAGTTCGGACTCCGGTCAATGAGCCCAACCGGAAGATTTGCGTATCTTCTGGCCGTTGACTCTGTACGGCGGTATCATCCATAGCTTCACTTTACATCACACTTATCTTGTTCAGTCAACTTGTCCGACTCGATAGCCAGGTGGGACGGACGAACAGATCAGTCGGATTATCGAGGAAAAAGTAAAATCTCCGGCAGCCAACTTTGCCCGCCGCCAACTCTCCTGATCTCCTTGTCTTTGCTTCCTCGAAGAACAATCGTAAGCATTTCCGACCGCGCGTCCGATCTAATGTAGCCGAAATAATCCAATTTAATGTCCAGGCCGGCTTCCCTCGCTTCTGTCGTCTGTGAGGAAGCGGCTGAGCTCGCCACTCATTCCTCACTGTGACAGGGTGCCTCATGAAGTTCGTCTTATCATCACTATGATGGCGACCGACCAAAGCACAGGTCACGCACGTCAAAAACCTCACCAACGCAGTAGCAGCGGCACTGGCAGCAAAAAGACACGATCGGAAGGCGAGGCTTAGCACTCGCTAGTGACTTGAACCCTGATTCGAACTCGCGCGAAAAAGCTTTTTCCTCTTCTCGCGAACGAAGCAGGCATTCAGTGAGCGAGCATCGGAGCAATTTTCTCCCGAAAGAGATTCACGGAAGGCCTCACGATAGTTCCACAGCTTGTGACTGAACATGTACATTTTCTGAATTCTGAGTCTCCTGGAAATGAAGACTCTAGATGCATCCGACCTTAGTTTCCGTCCCTCCAAAAGAAGTCGCATCGATTCCTAAGTCAGATGACGAAACAATCCGGCTAAGTGGGCTCCCTGGTCTACCACATTTCCCCCAAGATGGAGATATGCTTTCGCTGTCTCGAACGGCTGTAGATGTTTTGATCCCGTATCTTCACGTAGAGTTCTGCGACGTTTCTTCGTTTCCGAATCTTGACGCGTCGTTTATACACCTCAGGGTCGTTGATTGAGAGTAGGGCGAGGACGTTTCTCGTATCTCGAGACCGGCGGGACCGTTACCAATTCTGACGGCGACAGTCACAACAAAACTCTTCACTGGATAACAATGATACTGAGCTGCGACACCGAAATGTCGACTTTGACGTTGACGGCTCTTGTTTGCGCCATTTTGCGTGAGTTTGAAAAGTTTTCTGTGAATCAAAATAGTCTCCTAGACACAACCCGGTCCGGACTCCTCGCGGCACCAGCGATGTCCGATCTCGCGGTCCATTCATCATCAGAGATCAAGCAAGATTTCAGATTTCAAATTATATCATACTGTCCAACGTAGATTCCGCGATGGGTAGCGAACTGGTGAGCCGCGACCAAGTCATGGACTTGATGCGGAATTTGGGACCGCTGCGAGTTGATCTACCCCACGGAAAGTTGATTTTCGCCGGGAATCCCAAATGTGCTGACGGATTGGAGTTCGATCCTCGGACCGGCTTCTGCGTCGGTGAGAATCTCCGAGTCCTGTAGTACAAGAATGAGACAAAGCGCCGATATTCTGTGGGAACAGACTCACCGAGTATACTAATTTTTGTAGATATAAATGAATGTGCTCGTGGCACGCATAACTGCAGTCACGCTGCTCTTTGCGTGAACCACGCCGGTACCTTCGAGTGCGCGGATCCCGGACGGAGACCCCTGAAATGCGCGATCGGTTACAAATACAACTGGCACCTCGACGAATGTCTCGGTGAGTCTTCGCCGAGAGGATCCGGAAGATTCGAATTGTGAGTAGTAGCGGGTTTCTAGAGGACTTCCTTTCAGAAATCGACGAATGTTACTCGAACCCATGCGAGCGAGAGTTTGTGTGCATCAATCAACTGGGAGGATTCCATTGCATGAGCAGAAACGATCCCAGCTGCCCCACGGGTTATCAGTTCCGTCCCGGTCGCGGCTGCTTAGGTGGGTCCGCATCTTCAACCTCATCGGAATCCCACAATTTATCCAACACACTCTTCCTTCGACCTGAGGGCATGGTTTCCGAGGTTCTCCTGTCGAGAACATAGGGGGCGGAATATGGCAAGGGGACCAACAAACATGAACATGCAGCAGACCAGCCAGGATGGCATCGCATGAGCTGATAATGTCCATACATTTCACTACAACGTCCGGCGTCCGGATTTTCTCGATTACCCTGTTTCGCTTCCAGACATCGATGAGTGCAGAAAATCCCATCACTGTGAGAACAATGAGCAATGCGTGAATCTCCAAGGCTCTTACATGTGTGTTCACCCGTGTCCCAAAGGATTCCTCATGATCCCATTCCAGTGGGAATGCATAGGTGAGTAGAGCATCGTCTACGTATCCATGCTCATTTGGCCATCGATCAGCTGATGAAGTTCCGAGTGAAAAAACGTACAGGACCTTCCTGAGCGTGGGACGGAGAAGTACTTGGATTGCACCGAGTCGAGGGGGGAAATCCTCGTCTGATCGCGTAGAGCTATCTACCTCAACCTCTTTGCCTGAATTCCAACGGATCAATAGACTTATCGGAGGATCTGATTCCAGATGTCGACGAATGCCAGGATGAGACGGACGATTGTGCTCCAGAGGGGGAGGAATGCATCAACACGCACGGGGGCTTCAATTGCGAGAAACTTCGAACATGAAAGTCTTCGCGAGAAGCTCTGGCCCTTCCTTTCGAGCAATGAGTAATTCTTCTGTATATTCAAATGAACCTCGGGTCAGAATATGGGAGCAAGGAGATCGCTGGTCGCTATCTATGAGAACATCTAATTGAGCGAGAGAGTTTCCGTGCTTCTCGCCTATCTCACGTGCACCAATGAAGTAGATGGGAATGACGTCTTTTCCCTGCATATGTATTTTTCCGCATATTCCGCTCTTTCCCGCGCACAAAACGCACAGCCCTGAGCATAAGTTTTTCAAGAGCGCGATCCCCGACTCGTGACCCTGCCCATAAGGGACGTTCTTCTGTTCCAATAAAAGACCACGGAGTTCCCGGTAGCTTCACAGGTTGAAGAGTGCTCGATTCCCCTCCTCATATCCGTTTTCGTTTGTCTGTGTTCGCGATACGGAGAGATCACCACGACAACGGCGCCGGCACCTGCCCCGACCATGGCGGCTGGAGGTACCAGCCCGTCAAGTCGAGGTACAACCAGACAAGCTCCCTGAACGTGGAGGGAGCTTTTCCCGGCGCATACTCGCACCCTGAGATCAGAGGTCTCCGAGCTGCAGAGTCGCTATGGATTACCACGCCATACTCGCCAAGGGTCGGTGGAGCTTTGGGGGCCAGTCTCAGGCACTGACCTTTTCGTGAACCTTCGAGTCGACTGGGGCACGGCGTCGTCTTGAAAGCATTTCGACGGATACCCACGTCTCGCGAGTCGCGACACTCTCGTCGATGCTCGCCGAATGAGGAGAATCGAAAAGGTCCGATTTAGGAGCCTGGGGCGCATGAGATAAACCGATGCTCACCAGACTTATCAAGGAGAATTCCAACAGAAAAAAAAATACAATCAAGTTTTCCTAAATTGAACCCGCCCTAAATTGAAAACCCTCGCTAAGTTATAATTTGAGCCAATTTCCAGCAGCGCTCCGATAACTTATAACATAGACTTTCACAATAGAAATATTAATAAAATATCGCTAGAAGAGGAAGAACAGGAAAAAACATGAGCCTTCGCTAACTTATAACTTATAATTTTCTCCGAAATCGGTCTCCCGAGAATTATAACTTCGGAAGACTTGACTGTATATGTATTCGCCCGAGAGACACGACGTCCTCGGGACCGGAGGCAAACTGAAGACTCCGCCGGAAACCGCCGGTCTCTGTTGGAACGATTTCCGCTTGAGTGCAACACGCTTCTGGAACACACGTGCGAATTCGAATGTCCGTAAGACCGGTCGCGGAGGTATCGCGATCGGCCCGTGTCAACATCAGACGTGACTTACCCCCGAGTTCCGTATTTTTATCATAGGGAGGATCTCCATGGCGCTTCAAAAAACAATCGAATCATGGCCTCGAGGCTCAGAGCTTTTCTGACGAGCGCCATAAGAATCTGAGGCAGATCGAATTTCTGAAGGCATCGTGTCTAATTCACAGGAACCTTTTCGCTACCTATAGCAGAACTGCGGCCTGCAATCGTATAGGGAGGGAAAGGACGAACTTATTCAGCAGTCAGTCACGAGTCACGAGCCTCGCTGGCACGCAGAAAGCAGTCGTCGAATGATAACTCGCAGGCTCGCAGCAGAGCTCTGACATGGAAGTCTCCGGGCCAGGCTCTCCGCTCCCTCCACTATCACGTGGTTAGAGAGGCGACATCCAAGGAGTTCCTCACGGAGAGCAGCGTCGTTTTGGATACTCATTTCAATCTCGCGGAGTTCCGTGAACGGCTGGTCAAGCGACGGGGTGACTTCTAGACTGAATACGCTTCCGACGCATCGTTAATTCGAGAGATCGTCGATCGCTACTTATGAAGAGCTCTTCCAGACACGCCTCATCTCGTGATGCTCGGGAGAAGAGAGTTCGCTTTGGAGCTCTCGAATCGACGAGTAGGTGCTCCGAATCTCAGCGAGAGAGCCGAGGTAGAGAGGGCGAAATTTCGCAAGAATATCGGAGTTCGTCGAATTTCGTGAGCTCGGATGCTGAACCGTTTCGAGGAGGCCCTAATAGGTTAGAGGTGGATGATCGGAGGGTAGACGAAGCTAAGGTCTCCGTACGATTTTTGAACCCCCCTTCGACTCTTCCGTCATCTAACTTCATCCTCGATATACATGGGCCACACATATCTACCATATCTCCTGCCTTGCTTATCACTGGGTCAAGCATCCACTCTCTTCCCCCTTTCTCCTGCTCCGTATGTCTTGAACTCAGGACGTGATTTTCGAAGACGTCTCATCGAATTTCCACATTTCCCTATGAAATCTTGCCGCCTTTCCCCGCTGTGCCAACTCTCAACTGTTTGGAAAGACCTGCCACTCTCGGTGAGAGTCTCCACTTCTTTTGCCCCATCCAAGAAGCGCCTCAAAGACCATCTGTCTCGGGTCTTAACCTCACCTTGCCCTTCTATTCTCTACCTTTATTCATATGCCGCCTCAGGCCTGACTCGGATCTTGCTTCGAACCGGCATGCTCCGGGATACGAGCTCTAAGGATACAAGAATACACAGCAGAGCTCTTCAGGCGTGGAGTACCTCCCGCAACCTATATCATGGCTTGATTCTCCTGAGGTCGCAGGAGGCGGGGGCTTCCGCAATCAATATATGTGCTAGACAGATCATCGATGAGAATCATCTCGAACTTACGCGGAAATGTCGGCTGTGGTCACCCACCCTGACGAACGATCGTTGCGGGTAACTGCTGCATGGTAAGTACCGGGGGAGGCGGAGGAATTCCTCGAAGTTCTTGGAAACTCGATCGTCGGTCAAGAGATCGTCATCCCACAGCTCAGAATTCTACAATTAATATGTTACAGTGAGGGCATCCACTTTTCTTGATCGCGGAGTTCGCAGAGAGAGTCCGCCTTGTGCACGTCTTCGGGAATCGACGATATCATCAGACCGCATGGGGTCGATAGCTCGGTCGTCCGTGACCATAGCCGTAGCCGGGTCTGTGGGGATACCTTGGATGTCTTCCGGAGAACCCCCTGCCGGAGAAGCCACCGCCGGGCTGTCGATTAAACGGAGGTCTATCCGGTCAGTGTCCGTACAGAGCCATGGTCGAGCCGACGCAGCAGCAGCAGCAGACCCGCGGACCATGAAGCGATCAGCCAGGCTGTCGTACGACTCATCTGGACTGGATGATAGGTCTCGATCTTCTCTCCCTGAGGCTTCCTCGCTCGCCAGCACCCACCTCCGGAATCAGACCACAGGATTGAGTCCATTCAGGGAACCGGGTGAAGCCGCGAGCGATTCGCGATGGAATGTTGCGCAGAGTGGAATTTCCTTTTTCTCACCATACGAAGTTGCATGAATTACCATACATTTGGGTTGTGTCGAATCGATGTGTTCGAGACTGGCTTAAGCCCTGGTCGCGCATCGTTTTCGACCCGTCGCTAGATCACGTATCTTCAACTCGAAGGGTCTAATTCGAAGTCGCGGCCTCGAGGTCAGATTTCCATAGGTCCGGCTCGCGGAAGGGTGGAATCAGAGCTTCTGTGTACAAACATTCGTACATTAGTACATATGATCAAAATATCCCAGCGAGCGCGAAGTCGGAGTCCGCTGCTCAGGTTCTCATTCACGACGGGAGCGACACCTACTCGAATGTCACGGTTTACTGCTCATCACTTTGCCATGAGCAAGACTCTATACCTCCAAGAAATTTCGATCTCGAGGTAATCCCATACCACTGGAGTGCGGAAACTCGATCCACTCGCGATGATGTCGCTCGCTGCGGTCGTTATCGCGGGGAAAGAAAAGAACCTGGTTGGGCGGGGAAGATCGTATATCGGGATTCAGCTGAATGTACTAGGGATTCGGTGCAGATGATATCACACCGCTTTGCTCCCCTCCTCCTCCTGTGAGGAGCGTCTTCGTTGACCGGTCAGTTGAACGTCACTGCACTCAGGAAATCGCAGAAGAGATGTCGTTCGTTATGCTCGAAGCACCGCCCCGGGAGAGCGAACAGGTAAGAGCCCACGACAATCAGGCTCGAATCCATCCGCGAATCAGTTTCGGAGAGAACGACACCATACACCCCCTGCAGGAGAAAGCTGAGATGACTGCAGGAAGTTTCGGAGATGCGCTCGTCCCAAACCTTCACGAAAAAAGAGAAAAGGAGGATGGTCGCTGCATCCCCCGATCCATGCTGTGTAAATATGATCGGGTCTGAAGTCAACGAGCAGGGGACTACCTGCTGGCAGTAGCAGACCCTCTACTGTTGCTGGACGACTGGCTCGATAAGTTGTTTATCACAGTCTGTTGGAAGGTATCAGGAAGATATGTTACTTGTGAAGGATAATTACATTTATCAACTGCGGATCAGGTCCATGGATAAATAAGGAGTCCCAAGCGATTAGAGAGACTGTTCTGAACTTGATCGACCTAGCCGCTCCGGATAAAGTCCGGGAGTCTTTTGCTGACGGCTCCCGCTCGACAGACACTAAGGAAATACATTCATCTCTGGCTGTATTATTGAAGGTGTACAGCAGTCAGAGTGAGTCCTCGAGAATCTGAAAATTCCTTCTGATCGCTCGAAGAAGAGTGGCATGATATTCATCCGGACAATCTGAGGCGAAACTTTATGAGAAAGTCATTGTATGTACAGTTGACTGGACGGTACGGAAAGACATATCCCTCCGCAAAGGACTCAGCTAGTGGAATTCTATGTCATACTACCAACGTCTCGCTCCAGAAGGAACACGAAGACAGCCTTCATTGAGACGGCGGACCACGGAGTGAAGAAATAACCCTAATATCAAAACTTGAAAACAGACTTCTATTTCTCCATGAATGAAATGCAATGACAAGGAAACTTCCCGTCAGGCTTAACAAGTGCGAAACTTTTTCACGAGGGTTGGGTTTCTCCTCAAAAAGCTAGATAACTTTCCTCTTCTCTCTTCGGGCTCCGAATCCTCAACTTTCACAATTCTCGAGGAATCCTCGATGAGCTCGCCGTGCTTTTCCAGGTCCTTGAATCCATTTTCAGATGAGCGGACGTTTGACCGACGCAATGCAGATTTCCCGGGAACGTGGAGCCGGCGGGGTTTCAACTCCCCGTCCTGTGGTGCATTCTGTCCTCTTTGCTGGAAATTGGGAGGTTGGATTTATTCGAACGTTCTCTACGCGAGGCTAAACAAAGGGAATTGGCACGAGCTCCGAATGAGAAGTTCTCCATCTCCCACTCGCAGAATAACGAAGGAGGAACCTTGGAGAGTCTCCCCCCTCTAACGAGGACTAGGACAGCAAAATTTAGAATGAGATTCTCATTTCGCAACTTCCACCATATTCGTCCGTCTCATTACGCACCTGTATGATTGGTCCGTAGAGATCTTTCCACACCGCGTTCAAGTTGGCAAGAACTTCACCCGCGCGAACCGTGTCAACATTCAGGACTCTGTCTTTGGAGAAAACTCTTGTTTTCGCACAAATCTTCTTTGGGTGGCGCGACGGCGATGTGAGATGTCGAACTCCAGGCAGGATCTGGCGAAAGACTCTCGAATTCATTTCAACGTTTCACTTTAGCCCACGAGAACATTTCTCAAGCGCAGATGGCGACTCTCGGTGTATATTATGGGGCCATGAGGGTTCGAAAATCGTAAACAAGCTGCAGCTCCACCTCGCGGTGGAGGGCACTCGGGTTCAAAAATCGGCGCCAAGTGCTCATTCGAGAGATTATCCCAAGGCAGGCTCTTTCCGCTAGAGTTGCATCCGGATGGAGTCAATTCGAGGGATTCGTATGAGGTCCGACTTTGGAAGACATTGCCCCGGAAAAAATAATTCATTCCTGATGGAGCAAGAATGTTCTATTAGGCATCCCGGTACGAATGGATCAGCGGAGCGATCAAGGTTCGAACGCGGGGCTCCCCTTCCTCCGCCGTTCGAGTTTGGGGCGGGAAGGAGAATCAATCTCGGACTGCAAGAGGCTCTTCTCTTGTGCGCCTAACGGTGGCGTAGCTGCCATTTCCGACCTTCTCCTTTGCTCGTATTAGACTCAGCGGAGTCTTGCGCTCGGTCATCAATCAGAGCACTCGATTTGACATTGTCGTAAGAGGATCGAATATGACGACGAGAGAGCGGGGTCTCGGGAACAACCAGGCGGTTCCCGGTCACCGAGGACTCAATAATAATAGTCATGCGATCTTCAAGAGGAAACTGAGATTGATCGTCGCATCCCTGCGGTCAAACAAAAGACCGCGTGTGACTTCGCTCGAAGTGGCTCTATCTCGTCGATTCCATCGTCGATCATTGCGATCGGCGGGGGGGGGGAGAGCTCGAAAGACTCTCTCACAGCTTTACTGCGTTTCGACCCTTTCTCGGGATAAGCTCTGGGTCTCCTGAGGATTTCCCTGCGAGAACTTGTGGTCCATTATAGGGAATATTTAAGCATTGAGCCATTACAGAGAACGAATCGGACCATTGTCTCTCCATCTACAGAAGACAACGACAGCCGCAATGTGGGAGGAATTGAAAAGCGCGATCGATAGTTCACTCCAAGACCTTGAGCCTTTGAAGAAAATTGAAAACTCCTCATGTATGCCGAAAGAAGCGCGCCCTCACTTCCGCAAGTATGGAGCATCCAGATCCAATTGAAAAATACGCGGATCGTGCTCGCATCCATGGAATGGAGGATGCGTCTGTGATCGAGATGAGTCCAGGAGTGACGGCGCGAATCTTTTTTTCAGGGTCATTTACTCGATAGTGATCTTGTTCCATACGATGTGGATTGTCCGAGGGTTCTACCGCATCATGAGAATGTTTGGGACGGATATGAGCGAGTTCGACTTCCATGAATGTGCCCTCGTTTTGGTGATTCGCATCGTAGCCTTCCTGCTCCAATTCTGTGGTATACTCTTCTTCATGCAGAGGATGTTAGGGAGAGCGAGCACGCCATTCGTCGAGAATGTGACCAAGAACTTCAGCTACATTCAGCTCTTCGGCGTCGTCATCGCTACTCCGATAACGGCTGTCGGAGTAGTGATTACACTTTTCCGGTTCAACGGGACTCTCCTCTCGTCTCGTTTGATCTCTTTGCTGATGAATTTCGTGAATGGCATCATTCATCTCACTGTGTGTGATATCTTCATTGTCTGGACCGATGAAAGCCCGCTCAGCAAGAGTGCGAGTGCGAGTCCTGTACTGCCGGGGCTGGACAAAATGCCTGAATCAACAGCGGACTTGGCGAAACAGGTGAAGCATATCCCCAAGCTGGGAGCTCTTGCGAAACGCGCCAAGGAGACTGCAGCTCCTCTGCTCGCTGAAGTGAAGGAGAAGATTCCCTAAAGACTCGCCGATTTCTTCTTGGCTTCGAATAAAAAATTGAGACCTCTGTGGAGAGATCTCCGCGAGGCCCACATTCTTTGGAGCCCGTATCCTCGTCACTGATAATCATTACTCTCTGTTTGGAGACACACAAGTAAGTTTCGGCATCGGAGCGTTCATTCACACAACGCGTATGCGAGTCAGCGCTCAGATTATGCGTTTCCATGCGACTCGTCGTGGTAATGACAGGAAATCACGGATGACGTTCGACAGGCTCCCCGGAACCCGATAATGAACGCTGCATCTGTCTTGTCAAATATAGCTTTCTATTGCTTGGAAGCTCAGGGTCTACAGCCCAAGGTTGAGAGAACGAAGGAGAGTTATCAGCTTGTCACGGATGAAAGACTCCGGAGACAGACGGATAGAGAGACATCAAAACTTAGCCAATTATAGTTTATGCCTTTCGAATATTGACGATTTCCCGTCCGAGCGATCATTCGACATCTCGTCCTGCATATCCACGGAAGCAGCCAAGGCTCCAGAAAGGGTCAACATACGGTCGATACGAATTGAGCGCATTACCCTTAATTTTGCATCGAGAGTTCGTTTCGAACGAGACATCCGATCCCGTTCACAACAAGATTCAGCTGCATGCCGACGCTGGAATAATTTCTTCTGAATTCGGCATCCCCCGTCAACCCCTCTCGAAGGGAGGAACTCTCTCGCTAGATGCCCGATCGCATTGTCCATGACCAAATAAAGCTTACGATTCATGGTCTCCTGGACCGTCTTGAGCGCTCACTGAGTTCGTTGAGTTCGTACATCCTCGAAGCTCATGGCCTGGATGAAGCGCTTTCTGAACCTGCTGATCTACGCTGCGTGTTTCAGTGGCCTCATTATGCAGGTGTCGAACTTGGTCGCGACATACCTCGAGAGGCGAACTCAAGTCAGTCAGACCGAGGTGCCGAAGAGAGACCTGCAATTTCCCGCCGTAACCATCTGCGTGGATTTTTGGACGAGCAAAGCGAAATTGTGCGAAATCCACAGGAACAACTGCTCGAAGCGCTCCATGTCCATCATGACTGTTATGTACCTACAGAACATAAATGCCGAACTCAGGAATGTATCGGCCTTCGATCCTGAGGATCTATTCTCCTGCCGACTCAAAGGTACGGGCTCGTGTGGCATCGACGTCAACTGTGCGGACGCCATCAGAATGACATCGTTCCGGAGACCTCTACAAATGTGTTACACTTTGGATTTGACCAGAAAGCCGCAGTACGCTTGTGACGAGCCGTGGTCTCTAGAGGTCAGTCTGGGGACCGCTGTCAAGCCTCGGGACACGATAATTTTCATGCGTTCGCAGAGCGTTCCGGTGATTCTGGTCGAAGCGGGAATCGCTCCGCTGCTCGAAATTCCCTCCGTCTCTTTGCGCCCGGGCTATTCTCACGAGGTCGCGATTCGACAACAGAAGATCAAGAGATTACCAGCCCCGTTCGAGTCCGACTGCGTTGAATACGAACCGATGGGCTACCAGGCGGACATGAACGGGAGACACTCGATGGAGTCATGCGTCCAACAATGTCTGTATCAGCAGGAATTCGCTCTCTGCGGCTGCATAACATACACGCACGAGTTCGTCGGTTCCATCGGACTCCCGGTTTGCCTGAACGCAACCCGAGGTTTCGAGTACTGCAAGCAACTGATAATAGGAGGGCCCGGCTACAGAGCGTGCTACGCGAAATGCCGCGTACCGTGCAGGGAAATACGGTACGACGTGAAACTCGCGAGGATAGCTCCGATACCGGACATTGAAGCCGCAGAAAAAGAAACGAACTTTCGCGTGAAATTTCGGTTTTCAACGTTCAACGTCGAGGTCCTTGAAGTCAGTCCTCTGATCAACTTCCAGACGCTCATGGCGTACATGGGGGCGACTTTCGGAGTTTGGATCGGCCTCTCGTTGATCGATATTCTGAGCTGGTTAGCTCGTAGAGGTATCTCGATTATTCGGAGGATCGCAAAAGCGGATCGGGAGCGAGTCATCCATCTCAGATCTCGATGCGAATGAGCGAGAGAGCTGATTCCAATCCTTAAGTTTATTCTAGGTCTCCCCATACCATTCTCCATCTCATTGATTAAGGGCGGTATCTTCATTCCGGATGAGCAACATCCGATCCTCCCGAAAGCGGCGCCTTGAGAGATGAAAGATTCGTGACGCATGGCTGTCGCTGATCCCATCATCGCTGAGATAGCCGGCAACAGCGAGCAGCGAGTAGAACGAGTTCGCCGAGAGTATCCCGGAATTAATTTTGCTAAGGACGCGCTGAACGGGACTAGCCATTCGGCACTCACTCGCATCCTTATGTCTAGTTTTTCGAGCATTTTCTGCTTGAATATTCGGCCTCTTCATGTTTTAACTCGTCTGCCGATCGTTTCACGGTCACGTCTACTTTGCATGCTGTCTTGCTTGGCAATTCGAGATATCGCGATTTCATTCTCTAAGCTTTCCCCGAATTCCCCGTCGTACAAGAGCTCGATTCAGTTTTAAGCTTCAAATACCGATTCGGTCTGTCCCTCCTCATGTGTAATTGGCATTCCCGGATCACTCTGCGAAAATAGCCGGAAGCGACTCGTCGTTAATCTCCGAGAAGCTCGAACGTAATCATCACTAAGCCTGCTGGTGTCGTATCACTCGCGTCATAGAGTGCTCGTGGGCTCTCTACAGGAGTCGGAACTGTCAGCGTAGAGGGCGAACAGCAGAAAATCACTCGAAACGCAGAGAGCCCTCCGCCACCCATTGACTGCTCGACTAAGTGGATCAAGATGAATTTCGAGTATCCGATGTGCGGGACAATGAAAATAAATGCAAGTTCTTCGGAAAGCTCTTATAAATAAGTTCTTTATTAAACTAAGCCTTGATTCTTGCTCCACAGAAACACTCGGAGGGAAACCGTCTCCCAATCCGTTCACTATTTACAACTGAATTTGGCTGAGGATAATCTCTTTGCCTGACTTGGCTGAGCTATACCTCACAGCCTGACTCTTGCTAGGAATGATTCGAGGAGTTTATGAGAGGACTCCGGAGAGTATTGAATGGATGTGCGGTTGGGTTGATGAGCGAATAATTATAAGAGTTCGTCTTCCGGGGAATGAGTCTCTCTTCTGATTTGTCGGAGATCTCCCTTACTGAGAGTCGTAGACATTAATTATGAAGTCGATGATTCACACAGCGTTTCGAAGTGCATTTTCAGTTTTGGATCCAGCGGGGCGACGTCGGGCCAGCTAATCCTTAGCGACATCATGAGAAAAGTCAAATTCGAGCTGAACAGCTCCTCTAGCGCTAGCAACTTCGATTTCGGCAGCTGGCTCGATGATGTCGTGAAGACCAGGCCCTCAGTGTCCGAGATGACCACGTTAACCGAAAGACCTGAAAGGACGGAGGTTGTTTTTTGAGACCCTTCCTCCTGGTGAATATTCTGAGCGTGGAATGTCCTTGAAAAGATTCTTCAGCTGCCTGTGCTCGTGGAGCGCAGGCTGTATCTCAGTACTCACCAATGTGGTACGTAGGTGACGTCAGATGCCATAGGAGATCGTTTTCGGAGTTTCCATCGACGAAGCTTACAGTTGCTGCTTTGGAACTCGACACGTCCACAGTGAATTTTGAATGGTGTTTGCCGCGTGATATCCGCCTTCGCGTGAAATTCGGGAAAATCAGTTTCATGGGAGCCACAAGCGCACCGCCCTATTCTTCACATAGCGCTCTTTTCGTCTGACAGCGAATTGAGCTGAGTCCAGGAGAAATGGAACCTACCTCAAACAAGCAACTGGGTCTCGTGGGAGAGATTCGAACGCGTAGGCACTTGAGCCCGCAGGTAGAAGATACGCGAAATTTTCGTCCAGGGACCGGAGACATTGTATAAGAGCGGTGAGCATGACGTTCTCCACTGTAGATGCACACTTGACCGCAATCATCTTCAGCGGCGTCGGATCTTGATGGAAAGTGTATGAATGGAATTCCGGCGATCCTTCCGGTTTGCGCGCGCCGCAAACCGATGGCACTTTCTGAAAGGAAGAAGCGATTGCTCAATATATCGTCTTGATTCCGCAGGAGCACCATCTATTCACAGTGTTTCGATACGTTTGAAATCGCGAGCCCTGCGAAAACCAGAGTTCCGAAACCCGATTTCGGTGTGAAATATGACAGAGTATTTTCGATCTTTCCGTCACTATCCGGGTCACGTCCTACGGCAACCATGGGTTCAATTTCAAAGCTGTTCTTCTAGCCTCAAGACCGGGACCGAAATCGCTTCCCGCGCGGCGCGGGAAGACCGGAATTCGAGGTCCTTCGACCGCTCATCTCCGAACGCAGGAGGGTTGCCTAGGCTACCAGTACGACAACTAGTGTCCACGGTAAGCTCTCCCGGGGCTCGAAACGGGTGTACATATATACCCGTGGAATCCAGCGAGCTGAACAGCTCAAAATGGTGGAGCTCGATCCTCTGTGTCGAGCTCTGTTTCAGTATCGTCAGCTGAAGTATGAGAAATGCGTCGAAAGTTGTGAAGTCGCCCTTAACAATAATAGTTACGATCAAGCAGCTTGGATTCTCAAGGCTATGGCCCTGACTCGTATGGTGCACGTGGATGATCTGGAGATCGAAGAAGAAGGGATAGCGGAATCCCTTCTCGACGATAACGCCACGGCACAAGTTGCCCGACCTGGGACATCCCTTCGAACTGCGACCGCGGCCTCAGGTCTGAATCAGATGGTCCGCCCAATGACTCAATCAGGAAGGCCTTTCACAGGAATGGTGCGACCCGGTAGTCAGGGGGGGACCGCCTCAATTGAGAAAGCCCTGAAAACCGCGAGGACGGCGATGTCGGCACGGCCCGTAACTTCATCTTCAGGCCGTTACGTTCGAATGGGCACGGTGAGTAATCGGATCATAGCAACTCGAGCCAGAGCTGAGACAGAAGAACTTCGTGACTGATTTCTTTTGATTCTCCGTCGCCAGGCCTCGATGCTCAGCCAAGCGGGCGAACCATTCATCAATGTTGCACGTCTGAATATATCGAAGTACGCACAAAAACCGGCGCTCTCGAAAGCCTTATTCAATTTTATGTACTATCACGAGAATGAAGTTCGCCACGCATTGGAAATCGCCGCTCAGGCCAGTCAACATTCGAAGTTCAACGACTGGTGGCTCAAACTGAGTTTGGGGAAATGCTATTACCGCCTCGGGATGTTCAGGTGAGCTGTGCAAGTTCTTGCCGGAATTTAATCCCTCCCAACACCCCCTCACTCAGACCGATCAAGGCCTAGCCACATGGGAGACACCGGGCAAATTCAGGAGGAGTTCCGGAATCGATGGATCGCTCATGCCGGAGCGGCGACGCGACGCCATGCTTACGGCTTGATCGAGACTCACCGAGCAACTTCCAGAGACGCCGAGAAACAATTCCGATCGGCCAACACTCAACAGCCGATGGTGGAAACCTCTTTGTGGCTGGGCAAGCTGTTCCTGAAGTGGGATCAGCCCCTCGGGGCTCTCGAAGTCTACAGATCGGCTTTGGAAAATTTTCCGAACGACTCTTTCCTTCTGACAAACATCGCCCGCGTTCACGAGCTGCTCAACGACCTCAACGCCTCGGTAAAATTCTACAAGGATGTCCTAAGGTAAGCTCAGTCTACATTGCTCCCGAGACTATCCGGGTCGTCTACAGGTGTCAGCAGAGTGAAAAACGATATTGTTCCGTTCCGACAGCACCGATTCAGTGAGTGTCGAAGCAATGGCTTGCATCGCCACAAATCATTTCTACTCGGATCAGCCCGAGCTCGCGTTACGATTCTTCCGACGGCTGCTCCAAATCGGACTGCACACGGCGGAGGTTTGTAATCGAATCGTCAAATAATCTCCTGCATACCGATCTGAGCAACGATACAATTGACTATCTAATGATCTGTTCCAAGTTGAGAGCAAAGGCTGGAGGATGATCATCGGCTCATGACGGCGTCGAGAAGAATAAGGGAGCTCCAGAGGGTGCGAAAGAGATTCCGTGGATTTTTGAGTCTCAATGGGATTCACTACGTTTTTCCAGATTTACATCAACATAGCGCTCTGTTGCTTCTATGCTCAACAGTTCGACCTGTCAATCGCTTGCGTAGAGAGAGCGCTGCAACTATCGAAGGATGACGCCACCACGGCCGACATTTGGTACAATTTGTCACACATCGCCATCGTAAGTCGTAGCGCGTGAACTGACACTAATGACAGTATCGGGAAGGTTCTAGAAAAACAGGTCAGAACAAAATCGGGAACACCGTGCGTTCCTTGAATGACCTTAGTCGGGATGAGGGAACCTACTTCCGGCGTCCCTCGATCCGTGTGGCATCGCGGAGCTGAGCGACATTTGAAGCAGCTGCGGCCCCTCCGGTAGTGCGTCCGTGAATAGTTCTTTTCAAATTCCAGAACTCCGGAGACAAAACACTGGCAATCCAGTGTCTGCGGTTGGCGATTGCTCATAACAACGACCACGCCGAGAGCCATAACAATCTGGGGATTTTGATTCCCGAGCAGGCAAAACTCAATTTTGAAACATCACATCGCTTGGGTCCTCACCTCTTCGAACCGCTCTACAACTTAGCGCTTCTGTCAGATCTGGTGCGGACGATTTCCATAACTTTGGGATTAAGGACTCCGGATTATTTCTTGAGAAATTCTCGAGAAAAACTGAGCTCATGAAAATTTCCAGATCGGAGACTGCTTGAACGCTTACAAGTACTCGAACCAGACACTCGAGGTCTTTCCCGGTCACGTCGACAGCAAAATCATCTTGGACAGAGTTCGGACACTCCTGGCTTCGTTTTGATCTCTGCGAGTATCGCAGGATGCGGACATTCCCACTCAAGAGTACAGGGCAACCGGTTCCCGCGCGGACTCGTAGAGAAATAAAGATCTTCAAAGATCAAAGTCCAGCCAATTTTTCTTGCTGAGTGATTTGTCGAGGTGAGACCAACTCGATACATCGGAAGCGCTTGCTCGTCCTCTCGGGGCCAAAAAATCTCGATTCGATCGCTTTCGGTGAGATAGACGAGTGTTTTTCCCCCAATGGGTTGGCGCTGAGCTACCCCCGTCGTCGAGGTTCCGACCCTCTGTGATAGGGAACTTTGGATAGATGTGCCGATTACTTACCAGGATCCGGGCGCGCGTGCAGAGTTTGGCCGCTTCCGCAAACACTGGGAACAGCAGAGAATCACATACTAAAAGGGCTAGATTCTTCCTGTCGACGATTATCAACTTCCATGGATGATTCCCGTGGAAAGCTTTCGAAAACGCTTCTGAAACATCATCTACCAACTCAATGTGTTCGCGGATTCGGAAGTCGTCATTATTCCTCCATAAAGTAAGAGCCCCTCCTAGAAACCTGAAACGATTAAAATTCCTCACGATCTACTCTTGCGACGGGTCGACCCATCGTCTGACGGAAGAGAGCGATTTGTGCATGGGATTGATGTTGCATTCCGAGTATGAATATCGAATATCTCAGCGAGGCTTCGACATACCTTGAAGGCTTCATTTTCAATCGGCGCTCTCGTAATGCATCGTATACGGTTTTCTGTATATTGCTGTTGAGTCGGAAGAGCAGAGCATGACGCTCGGTGTATCCATGAGTATTCAGCGGCGTCCAATCGATGAGAACGGAAGGCAGCAGATTCTCGAGCAGACTCAGTGAATCCATACCCATCTCGAACTCTATGTTGTCATTGATCTGACCACTGGCATGGTAAAGCACACGGAAGAGATACACCTCTTGGCTACACTATCACACTATCGAAAAGTCACTTTCGAACGAGGTCACACGAATACACTACGGACCCGAGCTTCGAATAGCGGACTCTGAACACCCCTCGTCTCGACCTCCTGTTTTCTGCTCACCAAGTCTGAGAAAGGAGTTTCTTTGCGGAGAGGAGTCCACCGCAGCTGCGAGACGTTTGTTTTGGTTTATTTTCTGAGAACCTCTGAAGATTAGAAGACACTCTGATCGAAAGCCGCCAGGCAAACTGCGAACATCATGGTCGGAACGATGACGGACTCTGGAGCTGCGAGTGTCGTCAGCCCGCTACTTGAGCCAATACTAGTGATTGCAATGGCTCCATGGATCAAGGAGTCTCTCGCGTAACGCTTCGAGCTCGTGGAGAGAGGAAGTTCAAGGAATCATATCTCCCGATCTACCGGCACTCCAACTAAGTCGTCCAGAAAGAACGCCATCCTACGGCTCAGACGGCTCTGCGTCTTCTTCTCGTGTTTATTGAAAGGATTCGCTCATTGAACGCGTCTGCTTCTCAGGTGCACGTCTGAATTTCGTCTCGGGAAACGGACTCGCATCTGGCAGATCCTCGCCTGGTCTGATACAGTCAAATGAGAATGATTGTTAACAGATATTTCATACGTCATTAAGAGATCATTTTTCTCGGGCGACTACTGTGATTGAACGAATATTATCATCAACCCCCGGGCATGATCCTGATGGAAGGCTCTCGAGACTGCCTGCGAGCATGATCCAGCAACTGTGTGTTGGTGGATCGACCTCACGGATATATTGCCGAAGTCCTAGAATTTTTGACGCTTTCAATTGATCGGTCACGAATATAGAGAGCTTAGACGGATTCGATTTAATGACGAGTCCCAGTCAGATTCACAATTATTGCTCGAATCGTTGATTAAAACGAAGCTCCCTAGAATTCAGTCTCTATCATCTCATTAATTACTCCAATTACAGTTTTTTATGCGATATCGAATTCGGATTAAGCCGAGCCTATCTTCTCCCCTGCTCCCCATCAGCATCGCGAACGCTCTCTCCCGTTACTTAGTATCGATCAATGACAGAGTTATCCCAGATGAAAAAGAGAGCTGATGCTCACATCTTGATGAGTCTCCAGTTCTTGTTTTCCCGTGGGCTTCGGAGATGCCGGGAATTCGGGGAAAGGACACTGACCGGAACGGAGACTGCTGTAAGGGCGCGCAGAGTACTTCTACATTCCGAGCAACGAGAGGATCGGAGTATTCCGCGTCGGGTCCTTAGGTCTACGCTTCAAAAGGGTGGTCAGGGGCGGGTGAACAGGGTTCAGACAGACATTCCTCCGCCTCGGATGAGATATTTGATGCCTCCGGCCGCAGCCGGAATCGACCCGCAGTATTCTGGTCTCGCGTTCAGAACTCTGCTAATTTCGAAAATTCTCTTCACAGCTCTGACTGCCGGGGGTGCGCCCTCATAAACCCATGATAAAAATAGAGCAAGGATCCGGTTCACGCGCACCGCTCATGTCACGAGAAATCTTGACAGGGCAAAGCTCAGCATCAGACGACCGGCTCCCTCACGCTTGACGCGTGTAGTCCACTCCGAGTGCTCCTCGGCTCCAATCCCACTGTGAGTGGTGGATAGGCGCCTTTTGGGTGCGCGGCGAACAGGTGCACATTCCTGGATCTAGCTCCCATTTGTTTATCAGTATTCACTGATTGCTCGGGACATTTCGGGCGAGACCTGATGAGAAGCTGACCATCAGGTGCTCCGAAAACTTCCATCATCTCCTTGATGGTGTCTAGCCCTGACGACACCACGCTCTGAATCTCCATCAGATCTGCGATCGAGACGAAGCCTCTGTTCGCCGGGAAGCATCGGCGAATCGAGGAGTCCCCCCGCCTGGAATGCTTTCCGCAAAAGGAGAGAAACCCGGGGACCGAGGCAGGCTCGGAACAGCCCGAAAATAATTCTCTTCTCCCAGAGAGCGAAAACGAGAGGGAGAGACAGAGGTACTACGAGTAGGCTGCCGGACGAGTATTGCGGAAAATAACATCTCTCAAGCCTGGATTCATGCCAGTCACTCAATGGATGGGGGTCTCGAAACGATTCAATTTCGAACTCGGGACCGACCTAGAGTTCATTCCTTGACTAAGAATGAGCGTCATTTCGTGGCCGGGCAGAAATCGCTGCGTTCGAAATTTCGTTCAGCAATCAGTCGCGTAGATCGTTCCCATGGCGACTCCGGGAAACAAAACAACATTCCATCGGACTGATGATCCGCGTGAACGCCGGAACCTTGCACTGGAAGTTGCATTGACGAAGTAGAGAAACTTTTCGTGAGACTTCGCGACTTGAGCCATCGTGAGTGTACATAGATCGACAGGAATCACTCAAGAGTGCTTGCACTGTTCCCAGCCGGAAAAGACAGGCTCGAGGTTCGCTGAGAAAATTATCTCGAATCGCATTCCTGGCATTATTCCGATGCCAGACGCCTTAATGAGGCGAGGAATGTCCGCTGAATAAATCGCAATATCGAGGGATTCGGGGTGCTTTGGAAGGAAACATAATCTGTAGAGCATATGTTCGCGTCTCTTATTGTCCTCTGTCTATATCTGTTCCGGTACGATATCCTGAGGGAGGAGGGCAGATCACTCATTAGAGAAGGATTCCGCAGGGTCAGATCAGGACTCTTTCAATTTTTCAAGGAAATATCAGAAAGTGGCCTATGTGTATTCAAAGGTTCATTACCGTCATTCGAACCCTGCCCGCGAAGGCACAGCGCATGCGCCGGAGGCCCCGTGAAGCGCAGTGCAGCTCATCTGAGTTCTCGTCGAAAGCTCGGTTATCCTGGAATTTCTCAGCATTCCCGTTCCTAGATCATTCGGGGTATTCTTGTGATGCGCCGCGGATTGATGGGGTGGAGGTCTATCCGTATACGGAAACGCAAGAATTCATGAGGGCGACACATTTCGATCTGAGGGTCTCTGCTCAGAACCTTACACAGCAGCGCTGCCGCCCTATCCCTCCGGCGTCGCGCTTAGCGTCAGCGGATTCGGTTCGTTCACGTTGTGGGGCACGGCATTCACCTGCGATCGACCCAGGCTCCTCGTTCCTGTGAGTGCTCAGCTCGAGTCCGAGTTCCGGAACCGTTGATAGAATGTTGTCTACTTCGCTATGAGTCATAGTGGGTAGGAAAGCCCGCTTCTGAAACAGAAATTTTGTGTCGATTACGTCAAACCCTAAACAAGAGAACGCTGTCTGCTTCTAGTGAAGTCCTATCCGTTGCTGGCGCGATGAGATGAGAGTTCCGACTTGAGAAGATCTCGAATTCGACGAGATGTGTGTGACGAAGCTCCTGACATCGTTGGTAGTTCTCGCACTGGGTGAGTATCCCGTGTAGATTTTCGCTCTGCCGATGAGCTCAGATATCCGACGGTCATCGTGCGCCTCCGGGCGTCATCCGAGCGATCGGGAATATCTTCAGCGGATCTGATCGTATTCGTCCCCAGCCCGCGCTCAGCAGAATCCGACGATTTCGTACATCTCCAAGGAGAGAGTCGTGAACATCGGAGACACCACGGAGCTGGAATGCTCGGTACAGTACGCGCAAAGTTATCCGATTCTCTGGGTGAGAATCGATCCTCGACATCCCGAAAGCCCAACTATTATATCAACAGGTGTGTTGGTCTAACGAAATCCTTGAGTCGAGGAATTTCCGAACAAGCGGAGTTCGTCTCTTTACTCGGACATCTTTCCAAACTCGATTCTGAGTCTCATGCATGTTGACTCTCTGAAAGAAGCTCTGAGAAGAAAGCGATTCGGGCCATCTTTCCTGAAGTATTCTGCTAAACTCTACTCTCAGGGGGCTCGGTGATCGTACCCGAGCATCGATTTAGTATCCGGCACGACGACGTCTCCTCAACATACACGTTGCAGATTTCTAAAATCCAAGAAACCGATACGGGGCTCTACCAATGTCAGGCAAGTTGGTCATGCGATTTTGCCGCGATGCGGTCTCTTAGCCTTTCCTGTAAATTACCGGCATGCCGCGTCACGCTCATCAGGTCACTCAGCCTCGCCCGACTCTACGTTTCAGGTGACAACATCATCAACTCACAAAATTACCGCTGATGTGTGGCTACACGTGCGTATTCCGCCAATAATTTCCGACAACTCTACCAGATCCATCATTACGTCGACAGGTTCGCTTTTCCGCTTATTTCGAGCTCAGATGCACGCGCTCCTGACGTCAGCGATCATTCCTGACGGTCTCGAGACGACACATCCGGTGATGGGGATCGGGGAGAACGAACTCGGCCGGCTCGAGAGCAGGGAGTCACCCCCGGGACAAGCTCGATCCTTCGTCGATCGATCGTCGTGCTTGGCAAAACGAGTCAGCAGAATAAGTCTCCATAAATGTCCTTTCCGTGTCCGAAGTCCTCCGCTATATTTCTGATGCTTTTACAGGAGCAAATGCCTCTTTAGAGTGCTACTCCGAGGGATTTCCGCCGCCCCGCATAACGTGGCGTCGGGAGAATAATGATCTTTTGCCAACTGGCGGAGCGATATACCGAGGAAATGTTCTGAGGATATTCGGAGTTACCAAGGTTCGTTGAATGGAATCTCTCGGAGCCCCAGAAGATGACGTTCAATTTCCATGACTCGCGAATCCTCCGCGAAGCATCGCAATCGAAAATTTACCGAAATCCGTATCTTCAAAACCTGATTCTCCAAGTATTCGACCTCCAAGCTGTTGCGATGGGGTCAAAAATTACGGCCACGCCGTTTCAGGACGATCGCGGCACTTATTACTGCATTGCGGACAACCGTGTAGGGAAAGGTGCTCGGCGCAACGTCGGTGTGGAGGTGGAGTTCGCTCCCTACGTCACAGCAGATCGGCAACGGTATGTGGTCCAGTCAAGGGAGTAACCGGAATTCCTCCGGGGAGGGCAGGTTCGGATCTGTGTGGGGCTGGGCTCCGGAATGGTGATGCGCTTCTATACTTTAGCACTATGAAGCAAGGTCTTGGGGGCCTCGTGTCCCACCCAGCTCCGAGGTGGATACCCTAGTGCCCTAGTGGGTCTAGTCGACCAATCTCCGATAATAGCCTCGATTTTTTTGCGCATCTGTTTAAATATAATCCTTTGGATTCTGGCCCGGATCATATGATGAGAGGTATCTTGCAAATTCACATACTTCATCAGAGACGATTTCGTCGATTCTTCAACCTGCGCGACAAAAAACACCGAATCTTCGTTCCAGCTACGGTCAAGCCCTGCAGTACCCGATGGATTTGATGTGTCATGTTGAGGCTTTCCCCTCACCGTCTATCCAGTGGTACAAAGACGGCTATCAGGTACGCTACTCGGAATCAGCGGTCATTCGAAGGTGCTACTTCTGTAGCTTCGAGATCTGACTGAGAATCTTGTTAAGGCGAGCGTTGACTCCGAATTGCGATGCATTGTGACACCTCTCCAACGAGTCGGAGGATCGTGTCCTCGAGAGTGGAGCCAGTTATAAGAGACTTCCGGTTAAGTTGCCCCCCGATTGACCTCGAAACCGATTCTCAGATATCCGACAACCAGCATTACAAAATATCCATATTCGCTACCGCGGACGAGTTCACGGATTCTGTCTTGAGGATAATCGCCATCGAGAAGAAACAGTACGGAAATTACACTTGCAGGTGAGACTCGAACATGCACGAGCAACGTAGTGATACTTTTTGGGTACACGTAATCGGAGGGGGGGGGAATTTCCGGTAGCCCGGGTATAGCGGCAGATAAGGGAAAAGGGTGCCCTGGGTTTCCGTGATCTTGATGTGACGGAATGATGTATTGAGATGCGTCGGCTTGTGTGCAGTGCGTGCCGAGCAGTATGAGGCCCTCCGCTCAACGGAAGAATCTTGCTACACGGCCTCTAATTTCGGAAGTCCTGATGACTACCATTCCGTGGCATGCAGTCGACTGCATGGAGAAGAGGTGATGAGAGCTGATCGAGATCCTCGCTCACACGAACAATCTCAAGGTGGAATAGAGTGGATAGAGCGAATTTGAAGGACTTCTCTTTGTTCCAGAGCGATCAACAAACTCGGCTCCTCTGACGTCAGCATCGAACTTTTCGGTAGGTTTTATCTTCAAATGAGTTGCGTTCGTCTGTCCTCTGAGTTTCCTTGGCCTCATAATCCTCATCATAGAAACGACGGAAGTATTCTCATCCGGACTTCTGTGAGCTTGGTGTCAGGATGATCGAAACAAGCTCAATTAGCGACTTACTGTGAACGACAGTTGTTTTTTCCATCTCGGAGCGATAAGCGAGTTTTGTCGCGGAAGAGCACCGCTCGATGCTATAGAATCTCATAGATCCCAGACTCGCCTACATTCGCTGAGACGATGCTACTCTCTGATTCACTTTGTGGCCGCATGTTTTGCACCACAGTCGGTGGAGATAATGACGATAACACGTAATTGCAGAAACTGTGAACGTCGTGTGTCCGCCAGCCTGCGACGCTCAATATCTCACAACGGCATCGTATTCTCTGCTTCCGTCAATCGGACTGCTTGTGCTCATGCTCAATTTGCTGACGCTGGCACAAGTCTGAGCGCCACTGCTCAGGATTGAAGCGGGAGATCAGAGCCGAAGATTGAATGTGCAAATCAGGAAAGTCCGGATCATTCTTCCACAGTTCCTCGAGCATTTTGAGACAGACTAACGAAATTCTCTTCGCGGAAAACTTTATGGTTTTTGTACATACATGCGTGAAATAATCGGCGTGATGATGAGACATATATCATGGTTGTATTGCGGAGAAGCCAAACATCATCAATTATTTGAATAAATCAGTTTGAACAACTACGCTTCCAACTGAGCGTCAACCCCTCCGGTACTTTCCTCGCGAGAGATATTCCGAAGTCAATTCTCTAGATTATGAATTTGAGATTTACTCCGGCGTTCATCCTTCCGAAGAGCTCGTTTGCGTCTGTCTTCGGCTAGAGCGCCGATCGTCGATCGCTCACGCTCTGCTCTATCTTCTGGTCGTGGTTTATAATCCAATCTGCAGCACGACTTTGCAGTTCTGTGATAGCAGAGCGAGGGGAATGCCGAAAGCGAAGGTCTCCCATCTCCTGCAGACGTTACCCCGCACGAATTTCTGTGGGTTCGAGGCGTAGTTTGAACAATCGGCTTGAACGAATCGCAAACGATTCGCATTTACATAGGAGAAAACGCGATCATTCATCATGGCCCCTCGCGGCTTGCGGAAACTCGGGAGGATCGAGAAAGCGAAAGAAGAACATAGGGTGCGTTCCAGGACCAGCTCGACTGTCGCTATCAGAAGGTGTCGAAGGATACTCTGCTCATAACCCGGAGCCGAGCTGATCAGATGGGAAGCGAAAATTGGATTGGGAGCTCATGAGGAAGGCAGTCAGTCGGATCACAGATAATTCACTGGGGGTATCCCTAGTCGATGATGTATCGGGATGAACACGTGTTTCGGAGTCAAGAATCGTGCTCAATGGATCAAGGGTGACGGTCTGGATCGAGCTTGCTGCGCTAGCGGAACTTCTCCGAAGGATTCTGCCGCCAGCGCGGAAAAGCAGCGTTCTACCTTACAAAACGCGTCATCAGACGGCGGATAGATCTTGTGTAGATCTTCTTCACTATCGGGATTTTTCTCTTACCCCAGAGAGCTGGCGCCGTCTAGCGGGACGTGCGTGAATGTTCACCCCGATCCGCTCGCTCCGAAGTCCGACAGCGGGATCGCCCGACTTTTCTCTCAGAGACACCCTCTCAACCGAAGACACCGACGGCGCCGAAACCCAAGTTGGCTTCAGTGATCGAAGAAGATCCACGTTTCAACAGAAACCTTCCCTACGTCGTGTGCAGGTCGTAGTCTCGTCGGAGAACTTTGGCGGGAGGTGAGTAGACTGCAAGTAGGTACTCCAAACTCCTAGCTTCTTGCCGAGGATCGTCCCCGGCGAACACCAGGACGATAGAACCCGGACGGTCCTGGGCTCCTGATGAGCGTGATACGTTTTCTGGATCACACAAGTTAGATCGATCCGGCAGAAATAATGAACGCTCGCCGGCGAACGTGTCCTCCTCGTGTCATTCTAATCGGATGTCCGGATCGAACCGACCGCTCTGCACCTCGACCGGGGGCAACGCTCCGTTGCGAGTTGTTCGTATCTGCCTAATTTTTCGATGTCGGATAGGATTCGCCGACGATCCGTTTCCTACTCTGGTATCGAAAGAGGCAAATATTTTCGCTGTTCGCAAAATAGATAGATTATAACAATACTTCCGGACAGTTTCGAGCGCTTGTGGCGTGTCTAGAATCGCGATCAACTCCATAAATATTTGCCTTAGATCGTGTTGCAGTCCTCAGACGAGCTGACTGCCACTTCCTCAAGGTACAGACAAGAGGGTGCCGTTGGATACCTGAGCGGGTATCCGGCGGTCTCAGAGATTCGGAGCTAGAAAAATCACAGAATTCGGGAGATTCGTTGATGACCTACATTTGACAAATGGAATTATCCGATTTCGGGGAAGGGGTAAGATACCGAACTGAAACACAATTCCGTCACCGTCACGGAGTCCCTCGGACCACGCATGGCAACACTGTTGACATGTTCCGTGAATACAATTATATCCTCATCGTTGTAGGATTATGTCGACATGGGCTAGGAAGGAATGAGAAGACGAATTTTTTTTTGAGCTGCGAAATTGGACAAATACAGCTGTTCCGAGTTGCGCGAGTGACGACTACTTTAGAGCTGGACGGCCGGCGTCGGCGGTCCCGTGCTGCCCTCCAGTTTGTTAGAGCTGGAGTGAGTTCGGGCACCTTGCATCTCTCTTCCTCTCGTCACCGCGATAGGTCTCTCTCAGAGCGAGACTGTTTCTGAAAGAGTCGCCTTGTCGGAGGTTGACGCGGCATATCCGACGAAGACTTGAGGCGCGCGAATCGCTCGGATAATCCCCGTGGATGTACAGTGCGTAACTATTGAGCATGAGTTCTGAGCGCGAGTGCACTCCTTCATCATGGTTTACCATGTATCGGAAAATCCTCAACGCCACCTGGACCCTGCAAGTATAACCGAACAATATAGGCGCAATATCTCCCTATAGTACTGTATGTTTTCTTGTGCCGATCTGGGTTCAAGCATGCGTCGGCATGGGTTCGGGCCCAGTGCAGCTCGGGATTCTTTCCGACCGCAGACCTGATGGATTATCACGGGTCTTTTCGCCCAAGCGGTCTCCCGGCTCGGTACGCGAAAACCGGCCTCGGGTCAATCTTCGTGGAAGAATATCCCATTAGATAGGATCTTCGGAGGCCATCTCGGTCCTGTTGTCGGAACCTGTGCTCGCAATTCGCAGATCTTTCCGCCGGCCGCGGGGCTCGAAAACCTCCCGATCGTCGTACCTGATTGTTCTGCCCGGCGATTCTAGGTAATCAACTGTCAGAATCCGCGACAGTGCTGCTGGGTGCTCGAGTCCTCCATCTCTCGGAGAGCTTCTCAACTCTCATTATCGCGAAAGTTGTTTTCACGGCAGGCAGTGATCATGTATTTTCGAGTGTTCCGAGGTCCCAGCGACTTTGAATCATTATTCTGAGTTCCGACTTTTCCTGAACTCATTAAACAGAACAAGTGGTCCCCATCTGCGTTTTGTCTCGCAACGAGAGCGGCCCATCCGTATACAGATTTAGCTTTCGGAAACTGCCTCTGATTCTCACAAGTTTCCCGAACTCAAAAGATTCGTCTCCCCGGACTTTGCTCGCGACGGGGCGAATGACTGCTCGGGGATCAGGGAGGTAAGTGTGGAGAATTTCTTCCGCGACAGCACTCCTCTTCGAAGTACCTAGACTCGTCTTCGAAGCTATGCAGCTTGTGCTGTTTTTCCCGATTCCTCCTCCGAGAGCTGCAGGGATCCCTTGCTCTATGTGAACCTGATGAGCTGGATGGCCTCGGAATCGCTTGAATCCGTAAGATAATTGACCCCTCCATGATTCTCCTACGATCTAATCGGAAATTACCATCAGTTCGCGCTGCGAAGGTTCCAATCCAAGTGTGACGTTGTTCGGTTGGGGAATCCAGTCAAAGAAGAACCGCAATTCCGGGACGATATTCAGATTCAGAGGAAATACATACACACACCTGTGAGCAGTCCCGTTCGTCTCGTTGCGATGCGTCGGATCAAGTTGATTGACGGATTCGCTCCAGCGGACTTCTCAGGCTAAGCCTACGCAAGCTCCTGGGCGATTCCTCAGTAGCCGGTGCACCTCCGTGCCGCAAACTCTATCAAGATTAGACAGCGCCTACTGATATCTCTTGATGAACGCTAATGACTTTGCCGACCCCGACTTGCCTGTCGAGCCAGGAGCATTCTCCCATAGTTCTCAAGCTGACTTCTTTCGAAATAATCGGGAGCTCGAGCCTCTTCTGATCTACCAATCCGTTTCGCGAATCATAATCGATGTATCGTTCTCCATCTACGCTTTCTGACAATGATATTCGTCTCGAAACGAGCGAATTTCGGAGACGGATCACAAACGATGCATTGGCCTCCTAAGGTATTCGTACGGCCCAATGCACGGTTGGATCCGCCAGGTGCAGAGGCTCGCTCCATGACTCCTACTCCTGTACTGAGATCTTCTGACCGCTGCCTCGTGGTCGTCTCCGGTCTCCGTGAAGTCTTTTCGTCCAATCGGGGAACGATCATAATCGATCAGAGAGATATCAGGGAGAGCGGATCTCTGCTACATCACATGAAGTCACAAGAAACCTCTGAATTCACCGAGAGACGCGCAGAGCATTTTTTTTCCGGAACGATCCGGCACATTCTCTAGAGTCGCTTCCCGAATGAACACTCCCGGAAGCTTCCGTCTGCGGAGGATATAATATTTCTTGATGACGCTTCTTATGGAATCGCGATGAGGGACTACGCCTCAGGATGCCTCCTCACGTCGACTCCACAATATTCTGACTTGATTGAGAATTCATCTGAAACGATTAGGCAGTTCTGGAATCGTTTATTGTTTCTCCGGTAGTCTAGAAACTTATTGAGAGTTGAATGACCATCTTCCATTCTCCCACTTCCCCCGCGGAATTTCCGCGCATAACGAGTAGGAATGTAGATGGGTTCGCCCCGTCTCCCGCATGCGCCCGATTGATCCGGAAGACTCCATAGTCGCACTAGCGCGGATCCTAAAAAATATCAGAGCGACAGGGGACGAACTCTCGCAACTTCTAGGCCGCCGAGAGCCCGAGGCAACGACGCCCCCATGCGCGGAAGGATCTCGACCTGTGCGTGTTCCGGGACCGCGCGAGGAGGAATCCGCATATAGGGATCGGAGCCTCCCCGGAAACCCCAGAAATCGTGCATGAGGCACGTAGGTCGAGGAACATCGAAGTCTAATGAGTTCAGGATATTGCCGATTACATATATACAAACAACAAATCAGACTCGTTAGCGTATGTGGCTAGAAACAATCCGAGTTTCCGGCTCTTGTGTAGGAGGGACGACGCTTTGAAACCGCGGTCAGCAACCGCGACTGCGGTTTCTCCCCGACACATGGGACTCTATGGGGTCAATAAGCGCGATTTTTCATATTTTCATAAAATATGCGGTTTTCCATAAAATGTGCGGTTTTCCCCAAGGCCCAGTAGGTACTCCCTGATTCAGGTTTCCCCATCATTCACCGAGTGGTTCCCCCAGAATTGCGGAGGGGCAGGGAGAGCGTTGAAAACCCCTAGAGATTGGCGACTCAGTGGCTCCGTGGATGTTCCTCCATCTCCTGTTTTTCATATTCATCGCCGCCGACGCCGGGTTTAAGGACCTGGGGTCAGACCGAGTTTCCTCATGAAGAAATGGCAGGGAGTAGTTCACAAGATGAAAAGTCTTTATAGAGAATCGTCAAATATCGAAGCCCGGAGCCGTTCTCATACCAAATCAGATTCAACAATTCGTCCGCGTACCTGGTGGATGTTAGACTTCTAAAAATCATTTCGTCCGCCGCGGCTGTCCTTGACGGGAGACTATCTATGAGAAATATCTGCAAAAATCCAAATGGCTGCTACCAGACCTAGCTGATGAAGGCAGAAGCCGTTGTTCTGTTCTGCGGTTCATTCCAATGCGAAACCCACTTGAGAGCTATGGGAGTATCATCGAACCCTCATGAGGGATTCTATCGTACGAATGCTTCAGCTCAACTTTGACGTCGCAGTGCTGCCGATGAGCATCTGATCATCGAGGCGAAGAGGGATGAACATTATCTTTCGGTCGATTAATCCAGTCTGACACGATGTTCCGATTGCAGATCTCTCCTGGAAGTGTACTTCTTCGGTAAATTCTTCAAGATGGACGAATCTCTGACAACGAGATCAGCTCTCTTCCTCTTGAGGGTGAGTGTCCGAAGCAAAGTTCCAAGACTCGACTCCTGATATTCGAGTGGGAGCACCTAAATATCAGTGGTCGCAGACGAGAGACGAATCAAGATTGTGGGAGATATTGCCGACAACTTTCATTCTGACCGTGTTCGAAACCCATCATTCTTGAACCAGGTGATGAGTTTCTGTTACGATGTGATAAGCTTGCCCATCTACACGATAATTCAGAAGCCATGGCTGGAATGGAGAAAAAGGTCAGTTCATTAGAATATACGTGGTCTTTCTCATCCCGTTGCAATCGTTTCCGAAGTTCCAAAGCTCTGCGCTTTGGCAACTTCGACTATATATTGAAGAAGTGCCAGATTCGGAGCTCGGCTGCCGGTGAAGCGCCGTGAGATTCACACCGACGACCTTCCTCAACTTGCATCAGGAAAGCAAGCTCCCCGATAAAACGTCACCGAATACGCGGCGCACGTTTGTACCGGAAAAATGTGTCCGTCTACGATTGAGAAATTACTGTTCGGGAGGACTGACGCCTCAATTTTTGCGTTTTCCCCGTGAAAATTCACCGCTCAAGCCCGTGTGGTTTTCCAAACGTCGGAAGTTCATTACACGGTGTGACGTGCTCACGTGAGATCATGGATAAAAGTCCATTCGAGGCTCACTAAATTTGAATGTCTCGCTCGCTGAGGAACGCCGGCCGTGATAATCGTTAATAATTCTACTCCTTGCTATTTATTTGGCTTCCATTAAGTTACGCGAGCGCTCCGGACGTTGAACCCGGTGTTCGCGTTCACTGGTGACGACATATCGATGGCTCGACGGCGAAGAGGCTTGTGATGGCGCGGGCTGAGGCATGGATTCATCTCCCCAGTGGCAACTTGTTGCTCCGTCATTTCCATGCAACGGAAGCTCGTCACGGCCAGAACCAAAACGATTGAGAGTTCCATATGGGAAACTTCTCGATCGAACTTTTAGTATTGCTTCGCGGGAAGGAAGTGACGAACGACTTTCAAGGTGACGCTGACGGAGGCGGAGTCGCGATTCCCCACCAGAGCGATACGATGCGACTCTACTGGGAAAATTTCTGAGATTGCCGCCAGTGGCGGAATTTCGCCATTGGTGAATGATTTTCTCGAACGATTCTCAGGGAAAAATTCTCGGCAACATCTCCCCGGTACCCAGACCGAACTACTACGCGTAACGCTCTGAGTCGATATGCCCGGCAGCAATAAAAAAGTAAAAGCATCGTATTTCTGCTTCTAGTCGCCTCATCTACTCCGTTCCCATATTCCCGGGGAAACCACTGTCAGCGGGGATGACCAGAGCCCACAGTAGGAATAGGGGAGGACTCGACGGGCTACAACAGATGGAGCAACTCATGCGGAGGTCAGCAATGTCCATCTTTCGCGGAAATCTCTCCGGAGAAGAATCGCTAACTGCAGAATTTGCTTCTCCGATAGAATTGGATGGATTATATTTTCCCCGCGCGATATGAACGGAGGCAGGAAAGCAAGGAAAGTACTTCAGACAAGCTCGGGGAAATCTAAGATCGGAATATTTTACAGAACCGTGAAGCTGTATGGGGAGAAACGCGGCTTCGGAACAAGAGAGGTTTTCTGTGAAGAAGAGGAAGTCCAACCCGATGGGAAAGTTTTCAGGAAGGTGAATACCGTCAAGCACTCTCTTGCGCTCAACGACCATATCAAAGCTCTCAGTGAAGTTTATCTGAACTCGTATTTCCACTGTTTCAGTATACGATGGGAGATTACCGCTGGCTGACCTACAAGGAGATCGATGAGCGGATCGATCTCATAGCCGCTGGACTTTTCAAGCTGGGCGTGAGGTAGGCCGCGTGGCAGAAAACCACTCTCTGCTCATCTTCCCGATAGCGAATTGCGCCTCCATCGTCTGACAGGAAAAACAGCGATTAAGTGCGTGGGCTGTCTGATTTCCAATTTGATGATGTGATCGATTCCAGACCGCGTCAGAATCTCGTCATACTTGCGGAAACCCGGATGGAGTGGATGCTCACAGCTCAGGCAACTCTAAGAAACAATATTCCTCTCGTCACCGTTTATGCAACCTTGGGAGTAGACGGATTCGTTCACGGTTCGTTCGCTCCTCCGTTTTCCCTAATAGAACGCCGTGCTCCGGCTGCCATTCAGAAGCTTCATCCATAGCGATTCCAGACATGACGCTCCCCCAATCATTGGGAGCTCCGTGAGGCCGACGAGTCTCCGTGGGCCGAAACCAGACAAGCGCTGGTTTTATACCAGGCACTAATGACCCTCGATTCCCAAATACATCCGCAGCTCTCAACGAGTCCGAGTCAACTCATGTGATAACTTCGCAAGACATGTTGCCCAAACTGATCAAAGCCGCTCCTCGAGTCAAATCAGTGACACATATCATCTACATGGAAAATCAAGCCTCAAAGCTTGCGGCCCCGAAAGTTGATGGCATCAATCTCATTCCCTTTTCTAAACTCTACGAGCTCGGAAAAATCAATCTCGAGGTGAGAGCAAGCCCACGGAGGGAACCTTCCTTGAGCGAGAAGCCTTCAAAGAATTCACGATTTACTTCGACGATCACAGGAGTTTTCCGGTGAGATCCCGACTCCGGATTCAACCGCCATCATCATGTACACCTCAGGATCGACTGGAACTCCGAAAGGAGTCGTGATAACGCACAGCAATCTCCTGGCCTGCGCCAAGGGATATTTGACCATTTTCCCGGAAGTGAGTAGTACCGAGAAACCGCAAGGTTGTCTAGACTCTAGACTAGACCAAATCCAGGTCCGACAGAACAAGTTCGGGAAGGAGTCTCGGAAGAGCCCACATGAAGACTCGAGGATCAGATTCTGAAACCCGGGACTCTACTTACTTCCAGACGACAGAGAAAGACAGTTACGTTGCATATCTGCCACTAGCTCACGTCATGGAAATCGCCTGCGAGTCGATGATGATTTCGAACGGCGCCAGAATCGGCTACTCGTCCCCCCAAACTTTGACCGACAAGGTGCGTACTCTGTCTGCGACTGGTTAATGGATAGGAAGGTCATTGAACTACCAACTCGGTATTATTATTAGAAGCGGCCAGACAGTCTCGTCTCCTCCACATGTTTTGCATTTCTCACCGATAACTTATTTCCTCTTACCAGGGAACTGGGATCAAGGCCGGACAAAGAGGAGATGCCATAGTCTTGGAGCCGTCGATGATGGTGACGGTTCCAGTTATTCTCGACAGAATACGAAAAGGAGTTGTTGAAGGCGCCGAGGTTAGCGATAAGAGGAATCCGTTCGAGGAATCCACGTCAAATCACGATTACGGGAATGATCGATCGCGCGGCATGATTGCAGTTCTGTCGACGACCCATGCATTCAAAGTCTCAGCTTCGGGGAAACTTCATTCGAGGGACGATTTCCCGGCAACTGCGATCATTCCATGCCATTCCAGAATCAAATTTATTTGGCTTGCGATTATTCAGATTCAACTCGATCTATCGACATCGTTCAACCGCTTCACTTGCGATCAATGAGCGATACGTCTGGTTACATTAATCATTTTTTCCAGGCGAAAGGATTCTTCAGCAAACTACTATTCCGACACGCAATCGTCTACAAGTCGTTCTGGGTGAAGGCTGGTTACACGACTCCGCTGCTGAATCGTCTCGTTTTCAATAAAATCAAGGCAAGGCTCCCGCTCGAAGTTTCCTCGACTCTCTCCGCTGGAGATATTTTGAGCCAATTCGTCCTCACGCAAGATATTCACTGATATCCCTAATCGAATCAACAGGCAGTTCTCGGTGGCAACGTACGAGTTGTCGCAGTCGGCTCGGCCCCCCTCTGCGCCGAGACATTCGACTTCGTGAAAATCTGTTTCGACATCCTTCTCTTGCGCGGATACGGTCTGACTGAAACCACGTCCGGGGCCGCGGTATGCGAGTTCACCGACAACTCCGATGGATCCAATGTCGGCTGTCCGCTGGTGGATGTATACATCAAGCTGGATAATTGGTCCGACGGTGGGTACACTGTCAACGACAAACCCAATCCGAGAGGCGAGATCCTGGTCGGCGGAGTGACAGTCGCGAAGAGTGAGTTCAAAAATTTTCCTCGACAGTCTTGAGCCGCGTATGTTTGGAAGATGCGAGAATCCTGAAGGGATGCTCAATACGCTTGCGGACACAGATTTTTCCATTGCGGAAGACGTTTGCTCCTCAGTCGGAAGGAATATACGCTGCATACGTCAATCCGAGCACCTAAATCAATCAAAATCAGAGCCCGGGGAAAACAGAGGCATAAAGTCCGAAGTTCCTCTGGTCTTGAGATGATTTCTTAATATGACTCAAGTCGCATCCGGAAGAATAGAGTCTTCCCCCCTCCTAACCAATATGCGTTCTCGCTTGCTTTCTAGGTTACTACAAGAACGAGTCCCTCAGTCGTGAAGTTTTCCTAGAGGAGGATGGAATACGCTGGTTTCGTACCGGCGATATAGGGGAGCTCCTACCGAACGGAACCCTGAAGATTGTCGACAGAAAAAAAGATCTCATCAAACTACAGTTCGGGGAATATGTTTCTCTCGGGAAGGTGTGTTGGATACGGGAGACGAAAATCATCGGAAAAAAATTGCCAGGGAGCAGGAACGAAGTTCCAACCGAGATGGTGAAGCACGATTTGGACTTTCTGATGCGAGAATGTCCCTTCCAGGTCGAGGCCGAATTGAAAACGTTGCCACTGGTCGACAACATCTGCGTCTACGGCAACTCGTATTACACGTTCATGGTGGCACTCATTTCGCCGAATCCCAAAGCACTCGAGGCGCTGGCTGCGCAAATAGGGATCGAGAATAAGAGCTTACGAGAGCTTTGCGAGAACCCAGAGATCGTCCGGCTCGCCACCGAGCAGCTCGTGCGTCACGGCAAACATTGTAATCTCAACAAGGTAAACTTTCGTCGCACCTCTGCCGGTTCCGTGGGACGTCCACGTCAGACCCTGGAAGCGAATACGAGAGACATTTTATGATGTTTCTCTCCGGCTGTCACACCCCTCAATATCCTGCCCATGCTTTCGATACGAATGAGTCACTTCAATATATCGAACGATTTCCACAATGACGATCGTTTAGGCAGCCGGGTGTTTGCAAAACAGGATCCGGATAGGAATCCCAAATCGTATTCTATCCTGACTCACCGACGACTGGTATATCGTTCCAGATGGAAATTCCGGCGAAATTCAAGCTGTGTCCCGAAGAGTGGATACCTGACTCGGGTCTGGTCACGGCGGCCCTGAAGATACGAAGGAAGCAAATTAATGACTTCTACAAGATGGACATCGACCGGATGTACGAGGACTCCAAGAATGTCTGATGTTGTTTTTGCTCGAACGGGGAATAGTTTCTTTTCGCTCCTTGACAAAGTCGACCTGACTCCGTTACGTGGAGACCATGTTGGAACACTGTAGGCTCCGAGACTTTCATGCAATATTCTCCTAAGCTGGGGCAACCACGCTGGATATCGGCGAGGACGTGCATGACGTCGTGATTTGAAATTTCATTAAACCCTCCTCGCGGTGGGAACCAGGTTACGAATCGGCGAGCGATAGGCAATCGATGATTAAGGAGGTGGTCTTCCCACGCGGGAGTCTGTAAGGATCTGTTAGGATAATGTTCCTCGGCGTTGTTGAGTTTGGGTCGACGAAGAGTGAGCTAAGACGCGATTGAGATCGGAGCTCCGCGCACGCAGGATCTCTGCGATCCCCTCATCGGCTCCTCCAGAATGAGTCGGGGAACGATGTTTAAGGACAATGTCTAAAACAGTGAAACGTTGTGATTTCTACAGCTGTAAGTCGATGAACAGTATTCAAGAAAGTACGAATGCCGAATTTTCTCGCGAAGTTTAATTCTTCAGTACTCATTACACCCAAGTTGCTTCTTCAATGAGACGGGATCGATCCGATGACTCGCGTCTGCGTTTCCGAGATAGGCGCTCATCTTATAGTCTTGCGATTCACGAATTAGAGCCTCGTTCGAACTAATTCCGATTCGCAGTAGGCGGGTTCTACCAAAAAGTCTCAGATCCCTGGTTGTTCCGAGAATCCCCGCCGCTATCAGATCCGTTGTCGTGTCTAATATTTGACTAGTTCGGAATGAGGTGCCATGTACTGACCAAATGCTTGGCTGAGGTCTTTTGAAATCGATTGGTCACATCTTGGCTACGAGGTACAGCCGACTGCGGCCGTCACATTCGAGAGCGCGCTTGATCAGAAGCGTATGAGCTGATCTCGACGCGAAATACGGAAGACCCAGCATTCGAATTGAAAGCTCGAATCAAGATGACTCTTCAGAGAAAATTCTCACATGGCGAGCTCATTCGCATGGAACGCTTCCGGATCTGCAGCGAACGCTTCCGGATCCAGGAAGATTCTGTGATGGGGGATCTGAAGTTCTTCGAGGTCCTCGTGTCATGCCTAGCGATTTCCGAGACACTCTGCTTATATCTATCGCAACTCTCCATCGACCTGTCTTCTTGATTTCCGACCGTAGGAGCGTGTGATGCTGCTTGGATATCTAACTGGAGGCTCTCATTGCGCCCCATCAGCTCCTGAGATGGGGCCCTACTGCTCGCGAAGTCATCAGGGATTTCGCGATCCCCGTCCGACGGATCAGAGCAGCGTCCCAACGAGAGCACGGTCACGACATCCCCAGCTGGCCTTCCTTCCATTCCACGTAGAGAGTGTGCTTTCGTTTTCAACCTTCCGAAATCAACTTCGAAATAAGCTCAGGGAGTGTCGGACTTAGCGGCTCCACACACTGATGCGATGTCGTGAACGTCGTCAGCCCATTCTGCAAGGCAACCATGAGCAAGCGTGCGCATCCAGGTCTTCGGTTACCGGCTTTCTCCTTTGAGGATGTCTTCCTCTGGTAACGGAGTTTCGGCCTGCGCTCGTGCTTTCCTCTGCTGAGATTACACCTCTCCCCCGTGATCCGGGGGGTGAGCTGCTCAGCATTTGAGCGAGGTGGCTCCAGGCAGCCGACGTCATGCTCGCAAACCGAAAAGGTTTATGACTTCCAGCAGAAAGAAATCTCCCTCAGACTTCAGGATCTCCTGCGATTTCCCTAGCCGAACGGAAGAGTTTCTACCTCCTCTGAGAGATCGCCGACACGTTCCCCAGGCTTGACGTGATGAGCTTATCCAGCATTCCAGAGACCAATCAAATATATATGTCTACGCTCACTTAGTACTTGAATTAAAAGGATGCTCATTCCGCGACTCCCGCAGGAACGAAACTGACTTCCCGCGGTCGAGAGCCATCCGAAGGCTCCGAAGACAACGTGAGCGCTTGATCTCAGCCCACGTCAGTGAACAATTCGCAGGTGGGACGTGATTACGCGATCTGCCTCTCCCGATGGAGACGTAATCCCCGGAAGAATCTCCAGAATGAAGAATGGAGAATGAACGATAACCTGGATCAACTGGTCCCAAGCCTGTCTCGTCTTACGTCTGATCATTTCTTTGGTCTTGCGGCTTGTCTCCCCCTGAAACTGCAGGAGAATGCATTTTCATACCATAAGAACCTTTCGCGGGAGTCGACACCTCAACTCTTTGCCCCCGTCCCCTATTGCATTGATGTTGGCTCGATTGCTCGCCGCGCATTCCGTCTCGTATAGCCGCTAGATGTCGCCACCCTTCGCCAACAAACCGTCACTTGCCCTCTCCGCAATGTCCACGCGCGCCTTGAGGAGACCGGTCGGCCCGACGGCTGGCGGCCAGAGGCTTTCGCTGAGGGAGCGACTTGGTTGGTTTCGTGCGCTGCTTGTGTTGTGGATACTGTGGAATTCTGGTGGAACTCTCGAATCCCTGGACCATTAGCACTACGAACGACAAATCCGATTCGATAGCTAGGCAAACGCTAAGATGGTGGCGTCGATGTGCGGGCTCTTCTGCCTGAAATGTCTTCTGTATATTTTGAACACGATTTTGACGGTGAGTACAATATCTGTTCTTCTACAGAACATCGCTGGAGAACAAAACTCGAGAGTCAGAATATTCTTTGGCGAAAATCGAATGGATCTATGTAGGTAATGAACTCCTCGAAATCACTGGAGTCCGTGGAGAAAGGAGCGGTCTGCTGTTGGGTTTTCCTCACCCATCCCTTTTTCGAAACGCGGCTGTTCTACCAGAGCGATAGTGGAAGCAGCGGCTTTTGGTCGACTGTCTGAGATCACCGGAGGCCCATTCTCTAGGAGGTTTTTGTATTCACGACTGGTGACAGGATCTCTCCCGTGACTTCTTCGAGCATCTCCCGGTGGAACACTCGCATCCCATCAGAGCGCGAGGAAGAAAAAAATTCGAGGCTTGAACAAAACGAACACGTGCTGGATATGGATTTACATCGAATGGAATCGTAACATTGGCGTCGGATTCCGAAACCCGATACCGTGTGGATACAAATAATGATTTTGGATCGAAACGTGAACTCTAACCGCGCTGTCGACGGAGCGCTTCGTGACTACTGCTCCCACACAACTGACTGAGTATCAAAGGTGAATCCTCAAGTGGTTCTCCAGCAGGATATTCAGACGCCATCCCAATGTTCGAACTCTGTCATAGCTCAATCGTACCCACCTTTTCCCCACGGTACGGGGATGCGGTTAAGGGTTGATGGACGGAGAATTCGCGGTATCAGATCATTCCACAGTTATCCAGGGAGGTTCCCGAACTTGTACATAAGACGCTAGTGCTATTCGACCTCGTCCGACACGCAAGTTTGGCGCTGAAAAATCCGGAGGAGTCCAGGCTCCTCTCTCTTGTGGCTCGACAGTCGATCGTATCACACTCCATTCGATCCGTGCGCCGGCGCCGCACCGACGCCTCAGTTGATAGAGTATATAGCCTGCGGAAAAGACTAACGGGCTCGGCGGCACTTGTCATGGCGCTTCAGCCTCTCGGTTTCTCCATTTCTGATTTTTTCATGATGGAATTATGCGATATGATGGAATTTCGTAGAGAATCCCTGAATTATGAAGACGATTTGACAACTCAGGGTAAGTCTGAGACCTTCCGTTGCGAGGCGATGAGAATGCTGCTGTGTATATCAGGACAGAGAATCAGCTTGGGTTAAGGGGGAGGAGACGGAAGTTTCTGAATGTTAGCCAATCAAATATGCGATCAATATACTCAGTTGCGACCAAGGGAGATATTCCCACATAGATATCAGTCGGCTGGTCTTGTGAGGCAACATAATGTTATGGAAGGACCCACGTTAGGAGAGCTTCGATGTGAGAGACACAACTCCTTCCTCCGGGGATCGCAGATCGATCCCGTCATCGGTCATTGTTGGCTATTGGGAAGTAACTTACGAGGTATCAATGTGCCCCCACCACTAAAGGCCATGAGTCCCGAAAGCGATTCCGTTGACTCGTTGAGAACTTGTCTTTTTCCCTGTCGGGGCTACGTGGGGCGTAGGTAATCACATCGGTACGGAATGGAGTGGAATATCCTTTTTATCTCGCTTGACGTTTCGTATCTTGCGAAAGTTCCGTCATTGATACGATATGCAGTGACCTGCCTCCAATATCGGTCACCTTATTCACTTCCATACTTCTCGATTGAAAGAATCGCATTCTCTGCTCCGAATTCCCGAGATTGAGAACAATTCCATCTTCCGACTGAGATCATGTACCAATGTATTTAGCTGTCTGACCGTTCGCCGAATCCCCCAGCTCGACAAGGGGATTGATATGTTGAGTTTCACCAGTCGCTTTTGATCCAGACGTTCCGTGGCCGGCATTCGGATAAACAAATCCGCGCATCTCGAATGCCAGCATCGCCCGCTGAACACATCGGGAGATGTTCCCGATTCCAATCTTCTGAGAAGCGAGAAAGAAAAGTACAACAGCCCCGTAAGGCGCCCGATTTGCTGACAGCGCACAAGTATTTTATTACATCCAGACACTTCGTTCATGACGGACAACAGCGTGTTGGTCAGCAAGTTTTTGCTCCTCATCAGACACAACTCTTAGGACTCTGAAAGAGCTTGAATCTGGGCTCGACGTATCGTGAATTTGTTGTGATTCACTCGCTGCGCGGCCAGCAAGACCTGTTCCCCTGTTATTATATTGGGAAAGCGTTGCGCGAGCGAAGTGTGGTCAAAGACCTCTGAGGCCTCACCGAAAAGTCCGAGTCTCCGATCGCCGTCATCCTTCATTGTCTCATATTCGGATCTTTCCCGTGATCGGACGGGCCAGAAAGGTGTTGACGAAACGAAGGCAAATCTGAGTTGAGAGTTTCAGAACCCATTCAAGGAGTCCCCAGTGTATGAAGAATAATTCGGTTCCATTCCGTATTCGACGATTTCATGACGTTGTCCGTACTGTCTTGGCGTTTCCGTTCCCCAGCAGACTTCGCGACATACTTCAGTGCTCTTTAGCGAGAAAGAACCCTGTTTGACGATGACTTATCGACGCAAACATTCGCGTTAGACGACGCCCTTCGTTCCGGGCGCAAGGGAGGCGGATTTCGCAGATTTTTCTCCCCCACCGAAAGATTTCTTCTATTCAAACATCCGCCTGTGTCTGACATCGTACACTGGACGCAACACGCCTGCCGCGAGCACATTCTTTCTGTCCTCAGGGGGAACTCCAGACGAGTTTGACCGGGAGAACGACATCCGATCCGGCTCTCGACTGAGTCAGTCTCCGAGAGAGATGAATATAAAAATAAGATCAACGCGGAAAAATTGTAATCGTTCAGAAAAAACTAATCCGCTGTGACCTCTATCTCCTTCGAAGTGTTCACAACGATACAGCTTGCTAAGCTCACACTGACGGCAGTCGCGTCGTTCATTGTCAGCCAGAATACAAGCTGGCTGCCTTGAAGTTTTCGCACTTCATCCCTGATTCAGGTGATGGGGAAAATTCCTGAGCCCTCCGGGCCTTCGATGGAGACAATTATCCATTGAAAGACTCGTGTCATCGCGTATGATTTCAGAAGCCTGGAGGCTGAGATTACCTTGTCCGATTGAGACGGAGCGTTCTACACTCCCGCCTAATCTCAAGGATATTCTGCTGGAGAGTTTGGTCTGAGAGCAAAATTTATGTGAGAGAACCGGAGAATCGTCAAGCCCTTCGGACCCGCCCTGACCCCGAGAACGTCTTCACGCCGATTGAGAGTCTCGTTGACTACGTCATCGAACTGCTTCCGGAAGGAACACAGGACACTCTATCGGCCTGACACTTGGAAGCGTTCTCGAGAACAAATATACTCACTCGGCAAGAGTGGGAACTTGTGAGCGAGCCGCTTGCAGTGACGAAGAACGTTTTCCATTCAATCGAGAGTTTAGTGAATTGAAAAGATTGATAGCGAAAGATTGCCCCTCTTAGATTCTTACATCTATGGTTTCATTCGTCAGATATCAATTGGAGACAATTGCTCGACGCTTTGAAGAGCTCAGGTCGGTCTCCGTTTATGAGCGGCGCTGTTCTTTCCGGGAAGGGGAAGCGGTGCAGAGTGACGGTGACAGAGAATCGATTCAATTCTACCGTCATCCTCTCGCTGGAGAACTGACGGGATCCCATCTGCTCTCAGATCTCTTTCCAGAATAATGGAGGACGCGATGCGGCCATTCCTTCAGATGGAACCTCGAGCAGCGCATCGGAACGATGTTCGGAGTCGGGACGTTGTGCGTAGCCCGCAAGTCAAAGCTCTTGATTGACGATTCGTATGAATCGGGATTTTGATCACTCCCCTCTCCATCTTCTGGCGACTGCTAATCCGATACCAGTCGGAATAGTTTGGGAGGAAGATTTTCCGGGAACCATATTGAGCCGAATGAATCTTCAACGTCTCGATCCTTCACAAAGCGCTCCCAGAAGTTGTCTGCTTTGAATTCTCTATCGAATTGTCTGTGCTTCTATTGCGTTTTTAATTACTTCATTCTAATCGTCGCCTACGATCGCGATCCATGCTTCTCCCGGGTCGTCTTCTCCGAGTTTGGGTCATGAGCCAGCACGTAGTGAGATCGACAACGTGTGTATTGGAAACTAGAATCGCAGGTGGGTGGGAACAATCATCATCCCATTCACGTTCTCCACCCGGTCAAGCAGCAAGTGGAGCCACCTGTGAACTCTCGAATCAACGGAGAGAACGAGATCGCCTCCAGATCCGCCCGGAAGGATCGAATCCCATGATTTCTCTCTCTTCAACTTCGTCAGCTGCGCGTATCCACGGAGACCTCCAATCGAATTCAACGCTTTGTTGGACTCAGTCTGAAACATTTATTATTCATCAATCTCCTGAATGACGAATGAGGCCAGTTCTGCATTCCATCGCCGATGTTTTTGTTCGGATGAATCCGTCTGGAAAAGCTTCCGGAAATTCGTTTGTGCTCAGAGCCGAATTTCGTGCTCGAGACGAAGTTGTTCGACGCGCTGAAGAGTGCGACACACACGGTCACGATTCGTCCTAAGGATGTCAGTCATGGCGACACTCTGAAAGTGAAATCGTCGTCTGCCCGAGCGAGATCGCGAGCTCTGAATACTCCGATTGGTATACAATCGGCACTGTCCGGGAGAAGCATCGAGGACATCGGTCATAATGTCATAATACCGTTTCTGTTTTCGAAGCGTTTCGATTACGAGATCGTTTCTGTCCTATGGAGCTCAACACGGAACGTAAATCGTCGGCGCGGTTCTCTCGGAAAGCTCGGTCGCTCTGTGACAGGGAAAAGACGGCACTCTACGTAGCTGATGCGACCGCCGTCAAAGGATCGACGCGAGCCGAAATTCCGCTCGGCGATTTGGTAGCGCTTGCCAGAGGCAGAGTGTCGTGGATGATCGTCACCAGTTGGAGATTTTCGCCGCGCTGACGATATGAGTCATGAGCGGTAGTGCGAGCGGCAGCAGCAGCTACTTTTCGGCTTGCGGCCTCTTAGCAACAACGCAGAAGCAAACGTGTTTTATGCGTTCTGTTATTCGGAGACGTCATCCACGTTCTGCTGCTCAGCAGAGCGAGGTGGGGCCTTTTCATGACGATATTTTTTGTGACGGTTCCGCTGTCGCCCAATAAATGCCAAAACAGACGACGAGTAGCGATCGAGTCGAAACCACCAACAAGTAAACCGACCGGGCGGGCGAGCCATAGGCAGCGGACCGAGGGGCCTAAGGCCTGCACGGCCGCTGCAGACGTTCTCACGCCTGAAACAAGCATGATTTCCCGAAAATAATACTCTTGTCAACATTGGAGTTGAACACATCGAGAGTCCCCGGTGGCATCCGTGATCCGCTCCGCGGTCCGTGAACGCGGTCCTCGGGAGACAAGCTCGACTCGGAACAAGTGTCGCCTGACAGCAGAAATCCCGACTCCGATTTCCTCTTCTTGAGGAAGCGATTCTAAGATAACGTCTTCCGGGCTAACCCTTGACCTTAGAGGACGGAGGCTCGAGAGCGAATTCTGTTCCTTTTCACGTTTCTCCATCGGATTAGGAGCATGCGCTCCGGTAAGAAATGTAAGAAATGCGGTAAAAAATGCGGTAAGAATTTCACTGCAACAGGACTTTTGAGCGTTACCCGGCAGCGCAAGGAGATCAAATTTCCCTCAGGATCTTCCTGGGGGTGCGATCCTATTTTTGAGGGAACGACGGGGTTCATGAACTAGGAGTTCATTTATAGACATGTGGATGGAAGATGGAATGATGCGAAAAATAGTGAATGTCCCTCGATAATTTCTGATGCCGAAGCAGAAACAATCACCTGAAGCTTTCGTGATCATGGATATCACCTGCCGACTTGCATGAGAAACCGAAAGTGATTCTCGAGTTCATACTCGGACCCGAAAATGCTCATTATTCCTCATCGACCTCGGCGATCGCATTCGCAGTCATATCGGTCCAATTCTGACGATAGAAGACATCTGAAAGCGAGAGTTCCCGAGGCCGGCTTGCGGATCTTGAATACCTCCTCCAAGCGAGCCGGCCTGATACATCTGTGATCTATCCCTGATGAACAAGACTCAGAAATAGACAGAGAGATGCCTTCCATTGAAATTTGATTTTCTGAAAGTCACTCGACCGCCTGTCGAACAGGCAAACCGACTGACCGCCCGCGAAGCGTCGTCGAGTCGCGAATGTTGCCAGCACTTCGAAGGTCAGTCGTAAGCCTTTGTGGGATAGGAGCCATTAGCGTCGATCAGCAATGACGATCCGCGTGCCAGCTGAGAACGGTTGTACAATCATGAATTGCAGCCATGAATGATCATGAGTCTTCTCACTGTGCTTCGTCCGAAGTTTGCAGTATTTGAGGCGAAAATGTCCCGCAGAACGCCTGGCTGACAGAATTTTTACCGGAAGCGTGAAATTTTGGGGAAAGAAAGCATAAGTTGCTCCAGGTGTCACACAATCAGTGAATTCCATTTACTTTTGGGCAACGAAACGACATTGGAGCTCCTCTGCGAGACATCGTTATGCGGGGGCTCCCCCGACAAATTCGAATTAGGCATCAGATTTCCGATGAATGAAATAAATCGAGCGGTAGGGATGGACGAACTCAATTATTTCCATATACGATCTCATTTCCGGGATAATATTCTGAGATCTCGCTGCAGCACGATATATACGTTGTTGGAATCCTTGATGCTTTTCTTCGAACACGACTTCAAGCTTTCGGTTTCATCTCCGGTCTCAACGATTTTCGTATAGGTACGGGTACACGAAATAATCCCACAGGAGTCGTCACGAATGATCGCCAATCGAAGACGTTCCGCAGGGCTTAGCGAAAAGAGAATTACCTCGGAATCCTATTCAGAAGCGTTCAGCAGCAGTCCTCTACATTTCCAGATAATGTCGATCGTCATCGTCTGCGTAGGAGCCGGAGTGCTGTTCGTCCTGAGACAAGTAGACGGTGGAGGTACGCCAGATTTCGATCTGGCCCATCTCAGCACGGCGGGGATTCTCATTGTGATCGTGGGCGTACTCATCGTTCTATTCGTGTTCTGTGGCTGCTGCGGCGCCTTCCTGGGAGCCGGATGGATGCTGATATGGTAAGTTGAGCAATCCTAGTTGCTTCTATGAATTATTATTTGACGCGTCGTGGGAATCGTTCCGATGGATGGAAGATCTCTCGCGGACGATGGGGCTCGCTGACGGCTTTCTCACCGGGCGCCGTAGAGTCTTCGGAGTTGACAGATTTAACCGCTTCTCTCTCTCGTCCAGGTTCGCGGTCATCATGGGCTGCTTGCTGATCGTCGAATGCGTGATCCTCGGATTCGCTTGGAAGTATTCAGAGCCGAGCAAGCTAGAAGAGGTAGTTTCAGCAACGTATTCAGCTCTCCTAGACGGCGCGGTGAAAACAAGACAAATCAATGAACAAGCTCAGGCAGGAGCAGCCGCTCTCCTCAACTTCTTCCAAGTAAGCATATCTCTTGAATTCATTCTGTCGTGGCAAACTCCGGGGGCTACTGCTAGGCGCTCTCTCGTCTCTTCTAGTTCAAAGCGGGGCAACATCACAACACCTCACTTGCGTCCCAATCTCGGAATCTTTTCTCGGTTCCCGGGGACGTCGGATATTCACTAAAAATCGAGTCTCTAAAAGAACACATTTCCTCAAATTCCAGGATAAACTTGAATGCTGCGGGGACGTCGGTCAGAGCGATTATTCGAAGAGAGGTCTCGATTTCCGGGACTTCTGTCAGCGTCCGAAGTAAGTTTAGCAGATCGAGATTTCACCGCGGCGATTCTCGACGTCGAAATTCCGAAGAGTATTCAAGATTATTCGTAATAGAGTCACACGCGCTTTCGATCGTCGGGAGCCGCATGCCGATGGGTTCTTGACCGAAACCAGGGTCCAGGAGAGCTGCGAGCTTCTGAATCTATTCGAACAATACGGGTGACTTGCTATGCTCGAAGCGTCATCGAATGATCGAATATGGATCCAGCTCATTCCTGGTCCACCAGATCACCCAGCTATCTGTTTTCGGGGTTTGCAGACCCTTGGGGCTGCATTTCAGGGCCAATCGGGCTCGGAACTCGCTTCTCGTATTCCCTCGACCCGCGAGCCCAGCGATTTCTGATGTCATCGGCTTTGAAGAGCTGCATGAAACGGACGCTGCATGATCGTTCCTGATCGCTCATTGCAAGCTGACAATAATATTCAATTACTTGAGTTTACTCTAGCGTCATCTCACTTCGGTGGCCCGATTGAGTTATTGGCGAGAGAGAGCTCTTCGAAGACGGCATATCCCGAGCCCATTGTCAACGCTCCACGATATTGTTCCGGAGGCACAGCGATCAACTGCTGTATGTATTATATCGGTGCATAGCTCCGACGCTGGTCTTCAACCGGGGACCCGAGTCGGAATTCGGAATCTGCCACTTTCTGTACTCGAGTCGAACATATGATTCTCCGAAGGCAGGAGACTATCGCTGTTCATAGGTTCTGAGTTGGTCCCGAGTCGTTGACGCCGGTGTAGTGGTCAGGGTCTCTCCTGTCCCGGTCGGTTCACCGGAATCCAAGCTTCAAGCCCCATGCCGCAGGACCCTTCCGTCTGCGAAACTGCTTAGAAATTCTGCGCACGTAGCGTTTGCTAAGCTCGAAGGCGAGATCCTCAAAGAGTTGAGGCAAGCCGTCCCGTGGAGCAGACCTCGGAGAGTACGCTGGCGTGATCGAGCGTTTGCAGTACTGATTGAAGTCAGGTTCTCTTTATATCGAGTTTCTGGGGTACGGATCGATACTGACGACATTCTTGCTCCCGATGTGATCCTATTCAAGCGTGCAATCGCGAGAGCGCTATCGAGGAATCGAAGACTGTCCGGTATTGTACGAGACGGTCATTGAATATCGATCTGTAAGTGAAATGCACGCGATATCGATGTGTTTACACGTCTTACGTATCGGCAGTGATCCTTTGTACTTTCTCCCGCTTCTGGCGAACAGACTTGTCCGATCTCACTACGCTAGCTTATTGCTCTAAGGAGTCTCGATATATCAAATAGAGCGTCCCCATGGTTGGCGCCAGAATTATTTATAATCCGTAATAGCTCATTGTTCCGCTGCATACCCCGAATCTCGACGGTCTCAGCTCGCCAAATGCATCCGTCGGTCGTGTACGCAACGGAATCGGGGATCGAGGCTCATTGGATATCCCATGACATAACTCGTGAGACGCGCAGATCGCGCATCACAGTCTGCACATCTTTCACCCATCCAGAATCCTCGTCTCATCCTGTCCGCCGTGAAAACGTTGCCGAATCCGCTCCGTTGGGAGCACCATTATCACGGACGGATGCGAATAGTCCTCTCGCCGACGGGGCGGATTTCACCTAATGAATCGGTTTCCAACGATCATTATCGAGAGCTAAGAATGGATTTAGAAGGAGACTCCATCTTAACGAAACATCTCTTTGTGATGACCGCGTAACCGAATGTGAAGAGGAAGATTTCCCTGAACTAGTGCGCGATGAACACGAGTCCGAGGGGCGAGAAGTTCGTTCGAACTAATGCTCTCGTTGGAACGGCCGCATCCGGCTCGTGGGTCGAGTGTCCGGCGGAAGAGAGGGCGAAAGATAAATCGGTCCGTGGTGTCGAAAAATATGCCATCGCCCTTAACCAATAAGAAGCTATGGGTTCGTTGTATCGTTGAAATTGCCTGACAAACCGCGTGATCCTGGGCCTGTAGAAACGACGGAGCGCGGCATAGTCGAGAAACTGCCGGAAGGATTTCGAAATCGGAGCAGATGTCTTTCAAGAATCGAGGCATGCCTCACACCACCTAAGCATTCTCCGTATCGGGACGCTGTCATATATTGCCTTTTTATACCGTGTCGGAATACGCTCAATGACTTGCTTGTCATGATTATGTGAGGCTTGGGCGGAGCTCACCCTCGGTCATCAGCTGAGAGATCATGCACGAAGCCATACGATCGAATAGCGAGGCAGCCGACGGGGTGCCGAACGTTTTGATCAGGTGCTACCGAAATTCAGTACGAAGCATCCGTAAATCGAACTCGTCAGGTCTCCGCGGATGCGAGAACGGGGGATGCCGACCACTTGAACACTGGAAACCATAATAATGGTGTTCGTAATGTATAGGAGCGGTTCGGTTGCAGTCCAGCGGCCGAATTTTCCGAATAGCATCTGTGTCGATAACGACCCACTCCACTCAATAGACTCTCATATATGCTCCATCGATAGCCGTCATGAATTCTCGGAGTGACCCGAGCAGTTAGGTTCCTGAATATATGCAACATGGAGGCTACACGACCGATACGCTGGAGATTCGCACCATAGGGAAAGCGTGACTTCCGCGGGCGGGAAATCTGGGGAGATTGGGTACTCATAGTCTCCGTCGTAGACTAATCAAGTTTTCCTTTCCAGTAACAACGGCTACTACTCCCGCGGATGCACCAAGGTGACCGTGGATTTCTTCCAGAAGCACAGTCATACGATGGGAGGTGTTGTCGTCGGGACCATGGCTTTCCAGCTGCTGGCTATATGCTTAGCGATTTTCCTCTACTTCACCATAGCCTGAACGAACTCGAACCCTCATGGGAATCTGTCGGAGGAAGTGACCGGTTTCCTTTTTTCGACCGGTGGGCATTTATCATGAAGCTGTTCTGAGGGAGAACAGCGTGACGAGAGAAGTTCATATGAGAAAGCTGGGAGGAGAACTACGTTATCAAGGAGTGAGATCTAAATCGGAGATAGAGCCCAGGAAACGCTATTGGTGTGCCAAGGCATAGCCACCCCTGTGGGGTGACAAAAAATTTGATCCAGGGGAAATAACTTGTGCAAGGGACGGAGTTTCAGATTTCGAGGCATGACCGATGTCGCCTCGGTGGTCATGGGGTTCTTCAAGCTAATGGCGAAGTTCAAAGAGTCTGAATGTCAGCGAAAGATCAAGTACATAGATATAAGCGTTCGTTCCTGATCGCACGTTGTATGGTGTTCGACGCAATTTCGTAATTGGCGGAACCTTCAACGAGCGGACCTTCATCTATATCCTACATATTGTACATATAAAGCCTGGGTGGTCTGTTGTGTGCTTTTGCTGTTCTTGCGCGATCGCAGTCACGCCATTGATTCTATGCATAAATACATAGATGTAGGTATTTCAATATGGAGTTCTATGGATTGGTTTACGGTTTGAATCGAATTAGTTTGATTGAATGGTGGCTTCTGTGATCTCAGAATCGATCGATTTTGAGCTTACTTCGCTAGCTGGGTAGCTGTTCCGTAAGGTTTCCTCCTGAATATGGATGATCTGAATGAAATGTTGATTGGTCGACAGGCGCTAATCACCCGGTTGATCTATCGATTCTTTCTACATCTATTTGTGCGGCTGCTTGTGAGAATGAGTGAACCAATATAGGGAGCAAGCGTAATACCTTCGGAGCCGATCTAATTGAGAGAATATTTTTGAATAAAACCTTCGAGAACCGGAGTTGTATACTATTCTTTTCAATATCCTGCATTGCGAAAATGAACTACTGCTATCGGTGTCCAGTCACCCGCGCAGGAGCTGGTCACCCTCGAGACGAGCGGGGAGCTGGGTTTCTGGGAAGGAAGCTGATCTCGATCGCTCATACGAGACCATTGCGGGAAGCTATCGCAGTGGTAGGCTCCACGATTGTTAGGAGCACCACACTGTTCAGCCGCTGAGCATCTCTGTCCGGGACCGGGACCTTGACCCAATGGAGGACTTCACGAAGGACGGCGCGAAACCGCGGCGCCTCGATGACCTCCACAGATTCCGGGTCGCCCATCGAAACTTAATCATGCTGCCTGAGCGAGTCACGTTGCTGGCAGACCGGTCTATCGGAAACCTATGCGAACATATTGCGTATCATGCTTAAAAGACAAGTTCTTGAGATAGGGGGTTTCTAGATTCATTCCGAATCATAAATACAAAAAGTCGCTAAACAGTCCAAATGACTCCAATGTTTGACTTGATGAATCCCTGCTCGGGTTTAGGTGATCGAGAAAATACATCAGAGGAGGCAGAAGATTGGCTGGATGTTCATCCACCAGGAGCCCTCAAATACATCGATACATAGAATCAGTGCTTTTCGGCGGCGAGAAAATATGAACCTGGTCATCAAGGAGACCCGATACCGCATTCGTAACACCGATTGCAGATTACGAGGCGTACGCGCAGAAGAGGGATTAGAACGGCGCCGCGAACGTGGTTAGAGCTGATGGGGTGTTATGATCGGCTTTCAAGGATTCGAGGGTGCAAGATCATTGAGGAACCTCCTGGACTGGATTCATCGCATTCGTGGCGGTAGACGCCTGCCTATAAAGTTAATCAAGTCGAGAGAGTGGCCAAGGAAGTCAAGTCGAGGGAACGGTCCAGAAAGTCAAGCCGAGAAAACGGTCAAGAAAATCGAGTCGAAAATGTCATTCACAAGCCACTTGTCTCACAGGGTCGGCCGAAATGATCGCCACATGAATTCGCTGTTATTTACAAGAGGAAAGTTCACATTCGGAGCTCCAAGAATTGGATGTTGAATTGAGGCCCACAGGAACCGCCTAGAAAATGGAATATCTCCGTTGAGGCGTCGGAGGCTGATTGAGAGGTTGTGAGTACACCGGCTCGATCTTCGAGTTTGGCGGTGTGGGTAGAACCATCAGAGGCGGTACAACGTATCCGTAAGCTGGACTATATTCCGGCGCGCCAACGGTGTAGGTGGTTCGATAGAGCCTTGAAATTAATAAGTTTTCTTTCACTTGTGAAAATCCTGCTATCCGGGAAGGTCAGATGAAGTATCCATCAGGGCCTCTCGAGCTTGAAATCATCGGCAGCTCAAGGTACTACGCCAGAATCATGAGGGAAATTGGACTGGAACTAATCCGCCTGACCTGGAGAAGGGATTCCATCGTTGCAGACGCACCCAGAAGGGGGGCCGTCCGTAAATAGAAGCTGGGTAGGGGGCGGTGGGTATGTAAGCCGATTGGGGGCCAGAGTAAGGCGGTATTTCGTCGTAGTACTCCGCAGCAGGAATGGGAAGATCGTAGGGAGCTTTTGCCTGAGCCTGGGCTGGAAATTGCGGAACGAATCTGAATCACTGATTTCTGAGCCTACATTCCTGGTGGAATTTCCTCATGAACCTCAAACTCGATTCCCCCATATGTGACAAGTCGCACCGATGAGGCACAGAAGCTGAGCAGGACTCGGAATTCGGGACTCAAGTCTGTAGAGCCCGCATCATTAAATCACAGCTCAGATCGAGATGAACATTGCTTGCAACGACTCGTGAATGCGCGGAGCTCTCCTTACGTTGATGTTTGACGGGAGTCAGGGAGACTGCTTGCGGAACTCCGGCTACGACTGGTTTCCCGTTTACATAAACTCCGCGGACGCGGTTCACATCGTGCAGGGGCACGAGCTGAGCTGCCCGAGAATCCTGGAAGGGAGTATCCAAAGAGAACGACAATCACGATGAGATTTGTTGAAAGCTGGGTTTTCATAAACACTCGGTCTTCCCGGAATCCCCGGACTGCCTCCTGGGTCTGGGCCCGAGGAGGTCGAATAGTCGCTGAAATGGGCTCTACTCGCGTCACCTGCAGTGGCTGCTGGGCGGGTAGCTGTCCATGCTCTAGTCCGTGGTGCTGGGCATGATTTTGGCGGAGCGGTTGTGACTGCTGTTGCTGGTGGTGCAGGTGATTGTGATTGTGGTAAGTATCGAGACTCGCTCGGTATCCCTCAGGAGGCTTGGCCGAGACCATACCTATCAGCGCAAGGAAAAGTACACCGACGATCTGGAAGAGCACACGAGAGAGGGTCACACGGAATCCACATCGAGTCAATCCACTCGAATCGCTTCGAGACCGATAAACCGTTTCACCGCACAGCTCGGTTGAAATCTCTGGACTCGGATCCATCCTCCGAATCGTTCCTCACTGATTTCATATGATATTGGGCTTGCACAAGGGTTTACTTTGCAAGAGCTGGTCTATTGGAGTGCACACTCACCGTTGAGCGCTCCATGATCTGTCAAACGTCGGAGTTGTGACCCCGACGACCCTGTGAACCGCATCTTATATTCTTCCCCCACCCGTTGCGCTTGGAAAAGAGAGAAAATGCTCACTGGAAGCTGATGCACCAAATTCCAGAAACACCCACAACTCATCTGGATGGGTGGGCGAGGCTCTTCCGTTTTTCAAGTCTGGAAATGGCGTTTCTTCTTCTTTGTCACTTCGTCGCGTTTAAAATCTGATGACTTTGAGCGGTAGCTTTCTCCTTCCGTAAGTTTCACTCTCGGCGGGACGCATTCGGCATTCGGGAAATGCGAGTCGAAACAACCGTTAAACTATCTAATGGTCCCGCCACCTCTTTCTTCGACTTGTGTTTCATTGCACACCCGAGGTGAAGAAACCTGCTGAGGGGAAGAAAACGACTTTTCCGATATTCCGGATCGGATCTGTCGTCTCGGATTCCTTTTTGGATCTTCTTTCTGGGTCCACAGCCATGAGGAATCGGTCAACGTGCCAGGGCCTAGCACATCGCGGTTTCCGACATCTTCGGAATGAACACCGTGGTGCATTCCGAGCTCTCCAACGCTGTCCTCTAAAACAGGTTCCAGCGCACCTTCGTCGGAGAAGTATTTTCGGACGAAAATCCAGAGCATCACGCACGAGGACACGAAACAGGTCTCGTCTCTCTGTCGATCCGGAGAAAATTGTTAGGACGGGAGCTTGGGGCTTTCGAAGACACAAATTACGCGACGAGATACGTCATCGAGATCATGTCATTCCGAACGGAAGATTCTCTCCCCGCGACGCGCTGAGGGAAACTCTCGATTCTCAATGCTCCTCATGCTTCTCGCCCGTAGCGCTATTTTCAAAGAGTCTTGAAGCGCTTTGGCGAACATTCTCTTTGTCGGAGCCTCTAGCATCCGGCCGTATGGTAACCCTGCGGGATGGTTGCGGTAATCGCTGTAAGCGAAATGAACGACGCAGCTATGCCCTAGGAGACGCTGCGCCGCGCCGCCCGCGCACTAGGAGCATCGCTCGAGTTGTAATCTAGCTCATCAGATCCGGGGACGGGGACGTACGAATGATTTCCTGAGCCGTTGTTGAGAGAACGCGAACGATGGGAACATTTTTTGGACATTGGGAGATAAAATTCATCATGAGCATACGGGAGCCTCGACACTCAAGAATCATCAGTCTATCCGCAGATCATCGGCGAGGGTGATCTCCCTGTTCAAATTCAGCTTCCGATGCATCTCGCCGTGAACCTTGGATCGATAGTACGGAGGACTCCGGAAGTCCCGTGAGCCCCTGGAAAATCGCATTGACCCACCGGTGGGGGCACCTTCCCGCTCTTGGGGAAAACTGTCACTGGCGGATGATTTGTGTTTCGGCGACTGACTCCTTTTTCCGCTATCAATAATTCGCGTCCGAATCTACTCTCGCCCCTCAGGACGGTCCGCTTCCGCGCACGGGGCGCTAAGACGTGCCCGTGTTTCCTCGCCGAGCGTTCTGAGTGAGTCTTGAATCGAGCTCATGAATGTTCGTGAGCGTTGAGGCGCGAAACGGGAGAGGAGGTGACGGCTTCGGAGGAGGATTCAGCCTCCGGTCGGAGCTTCGGGCCGCTCAATCGAGAATTATCAGGCCTCGACCTACGATGAGGGAAATGAACACTATGCGTTCAATTCTCCAGCCTCCTTTCGCTTCACTCGAGAATCTTCACGAGTTCCCGTTCGGTGATTCCAGCTTCACGTCCATCTATTCACGAATCGCTCCAGTTGACAAGAGACGATACCCGGCACGGAGTACGGGTGCTCCTGATTCTCTCACTACGGCGCCTGTGTGACTCTGATCTCCGATCGATGCAGGGGGAGGGGTGGCACGAAGCCCGATGACTCCGAGTAAGGTGCTGTCGACGGCGGTTTTCGAGAGTTGATGCTTCATCGCAGTTCCTTGGAAGGAGATGTAGATCGCCTGATCCATCAGAGGTCGGCTCTGTGAGAAATCTCTAGGGTATCTCCTTCTAGATCCTCCCCTGATGATCCGGGACCCGGAGGCCCGATTGAGTCCTCAATGATGTTGGGAAATTTCAGAGTTCCCCCTGTCAACGCGCCAGGATGAAGCTGAGCGGTCGAACAGTCGTACTTTGAGGAGTTCTCGATTCTTTGATCGATGGATATCGGAGAAATTCTTTTGATTCTCTCTCCTGCCATTTCCCATCCCTGACCCTTTGCTTACGCCGTCGGGTTGAAGGATTGGAATAGTGAAGAATGTCGCCACGATGTTTCGCCATTTCTTTCATATGGCAGGTCCTTGGACCGTACTACTCCGAGTCGAGTCTACCGAATTCGTCCGAAAGATTCAGCTATAACCCGATATTGCAAAGGCGGCACTGAAATTTTGTGCGATCTTCCTCTCGGACGACAATTTGATACACATCATAAGAGTGGAAATCCGGGACGCCCAAACCGCTGACGCAGTCGACAGCATTGCCGTGGACACATCGATGCTCTTCGGGTCGCAGGGAAGTCCCTAAAGATATCCTCAGCCTCCTTCTTTTTCCGGGATGATGTTGACCCTAGTCTTTTAGAATAAGAATTCCCCGGCTCGAATATGGTTAAGCAACTTACTTCCATCGCTTGATTTGCTGATTCGGCTCGGGAGCCCGAATGGCAGCCGAAGGGCGCCACGTGGGTACGCATATCAATCGAGCCCCTCGAGGCTCAAAGGAGATCCGAGGAATACGCCATCCCTAATATAGATCCCCGAGTCATTTACCGGGCTTCGAACACACTCATTGGAAGTCAGGGATCGACCACCTATTCACAGCGATATGCCATGCGAGGAAAGCCTTTGACCCTCGATATGATATCGATGGAGCAGATTGCGAGAACCAGTTGAGGGAAGCAAGGAACGGTGAGAGCTCCAAAGTGATGAACACATGATTCTCACATGAAGCCCTCGGCGATTGGCTCCGCAGTGGCTTCTGGATGGCCTTCATGACGAAAATAAGCGAAGAGCATCGATAAGACGTGCAGCGCTCTGTTTATGGTGTGTGTGACCAGAGTGAGAGCGAGAGTGTATTAGGGAAGTAGAAGTTTCGTATATATCAATTCGTCGCGCCTCTCCCTGTCATCACTAACCCCAGAGTAACCCGAATCGGACTCTCACAGCTCTAACTCACGATCAGCCACAGCGGGATTGGGCGCCCACACGGTCGATACAAATAATTATCAACTACCACCCATCTTTTCGCGCTCGGAGGAGGACAACTTAGTCGCCGCTGCTTTCGATAAGGATTCGGACTCGGGACTCGTAATACCGCGCCTCAGTTCACCGGAATCCGGAAGGATGATCCCAACAGAAAAGGATCACGGCACCGTACTGCGGACGACGGCGCCGCAGTGCATCGATGGCGGTACGGAAGTACTCATCCCCGACTCGGAATCTCTACGGAAACACATTCTCCACGATGCTCGGCCGTCACGGACCATGCGAGCCTGCTGTATTCTCCCGTGCGCCTCTGCGATTCGTCGTAGTCTATTCGGGACGAAGGATGTCAGACTTTGATGGCAGTCTTGCAAACACAATTCGACTCCTTCATCAATCGCAGTCGTCGTCGTGAATTTGCATTCGAGTCTGTGACCTCGATCGTTATGTCCGACTCGCAGACCGCAGATAAGTCGGTCCATTTAGGATGTTCGGAACGAATTATTCATGGATCGATAGACTCTTCGTGACGGGCCGACGACTCACGCTCTAGAACATTGTACTGATCTGACGTTCGAATCGAGATGTCAGGTTTGAAAGTCGCTCTGATCTTGGGAAGTGTTCGCGAAGGCCGAATGGTAGAGCGCGTTTCGAAAGTTGTGCTAGCAAGTCTGGAAAAACGTGAAATACAAGTACTCCTCTTCGGTAAGCGCAGCCTACAGTATTTTTGCTCTCGTCAAGCTCGGACGGTCAAGGGATGGCTCGTTTCAGATCCATTGGAGCGAGAAGAATATCACATTCTGCGAAAACCAATACATTTCTATGCCCCTGAAGAAGACGTGCCGAATTATCTCCTCGAAGATAATCAGACTCTCGCTGACTGTGACGCTTACGTCATCGTCAGTCCGGAGTACAACAGGTGCGTGAAGTCGTTGATCACGCCTCGACGAGCTGTGGGCAGTACGAAGACCGTCGGAAGTAATTTTCGAGAAGAGAGTCGACCAGGAAGCACCGAATTCAGCTCAGCAAATCTTTTCCAGATGTATACCAGGTGCTCTCAGCAACCTGATTAATCATTTCCCGCCAGCAACCTTCGCCGCGAAACCAGTGGGGGTCGTGAGCTATTCCCTCGGTAGATTGGGCGGCGCCAGCGTTTCTATACAACTCCGGGAATATCTGACTGAACTCGCCATGATCAATCTTCCGATAATGGTGAGACAGAGTTCTCTCAGCGGGTGCTCGTTTTTTCCTAGATTAGTGTAAGTCCCGCTCACGGATTGAATGAATCTTCAGGTGAACATTCCTTTCGTTTCGGACGCGATCTCGGAAGATAATGAGGTGAAGGATCAACGGATCGAGCCGTTGCTAAATGGAATGCTCGACCAGCTTGTGTGGTATGGATACGCCATGAAAAGAATCAAAGAAGAACACGGACAAATGCCACTATAAGATGCTCTCGAGAAGGATCACACATTCTCGTCAAGCCTACCATCGAATAATTGCTGCTTTCACTCGCCAAAAATCTTCTCGAATGAATGAGCTGATTCTTGAACCCTCCTTCGACTGAAAGGAAAACCGTCGACTGTCAGGGCACTGGTTCCCATCGTAAGCATGGTTCCCACGTGGTGATGCCTGGAAACTTTCCTCCTCCGAGGAAACCGTCGGCTGGCCTCGGAGCCTCACAAAACCGCGCTATCGCACCTCGGAGCGATTACGAACGAAACTTTGAATTGATGCATCATCCCTACGAACACTGGAGGGTCTCATCGGTGATATATCGGCTCCTGGAAGGGATCAGAAAACTCGGATCTATCCGTCCGCGACCATCGGCATCGCTGACATTCGTGTCACCGGTAGATGTTCCGAACAAATCAGCGGTCGCTCACGATAATCATGACCGAAACGGCGTGATAGGCGCTCAACGCCTTGCCAGCGGCTGAAACTTATTCCGCTCAGGATACTCCGTGGTCTCGCTTGCGTTTCAAGAATAGAGAAACGGGTCTATCCGCATGACAAGGTCAACTATGAACACGAGGAAAAAGGTAATTGACTCGCTCTAGTGACGATGTCCATCTTCTATATACGTGGAACTTCCGAGTCCAGGCAACGACTTGGCTTCCCGCTTCTGTTGCCAACAGGGAGGTGTGATTGAGTGCTATTCGAATCGCAAATTCCGTGTTCCTCAGGCCCGAAGCATACCGTCTTTCCCAGGTTCTCCTCTCGATTGTGACAATGATGGTCATCCTCCTGATCTCAAGGCGATCCTACATCAAATCGTATCGTCACGGCACCTTCGCTGACTACTAGAGCCGATAGCTTGAGCCGGACCGAAGAACCGGAGATGTTCCGAATTGCCGTGTAAAGCAAATAAATTTGGACTTACGAACATGATTTATGATTAATTACACAGCCCGACAGCCAAAACCTGACAGAGAAGTGGATACTCATTTTAGGGTAAATCGGGGTCGCTGATCACGAATCCGGCGTCAGAAAATTCGAAAAGGCTCCAGTTTTCGAGTTTCAACCGATATACCGAAGAAAAAAATTGTAAAAAAATGTAACTCGCGAAAACCAGAGCCTTTCCGAACATTCTGACGCCGGATTTGAAATCAGCGACCTCGATTCACCCCGAAATAGGTATCAACTTTTCTGTTAAGCCAATGTTTTTTTTTCCGGTATATCCGTTGAAACTCGAAAACTAGAGCCTTTTCGAATTTTCTGACGCCGAGTTCGTGATCAGCGACCCCGATTTACCCTAAAATGGGTATCCTCTTTTCTGTCAGATTTTGGCTGTCGGGCTGTGTAATCAATCGATGGATCGTGCCATACTCTCCGATCCTCTCCGAATCTTTTGAAGCGCATATCAACGTCGAGTATTGTAATTCAGTGAAATCAATCAAGTATATTTGTAAGTATGTGACAAAAGGGAGCGATATGGCAGTTTTTGGAGTTGGTGAAGCGTCCGCACCCGTGGACGAGATAAAACGATATCATATGGGACGATACATCAGCAGCAATGAAGCTATATGGCATATCCTGTCTATCCTGTCTATCTACCACTCCTGTTCATAAAGTGGTTCATTGCAGGTTCCTCCCTCACTCGTACCGGCGCAGCAACGCGCGCCGGGCAGCGCTACTGAAATAAATCAGTATCACTCCGAAGAGAACTATAAGCGACACGTAGGTCTACGTCAACTCGGGTTTGGCCTGGGTCTAGGTCAGCGGTTCCCAACCTGGGAGCCGCGGCTCCCAGGGGAGCCGCGGGACTTTTCTGGGGGAGCCGCCGAACCTGGTAGGCGCGGCTCCCCTAGGAGCCACGAGACTTTTCTCGGGGAGCCGTGGACGACTCTCTGGTGTGGGTCCGGGCCGTCAGGGTTTGTCAATTCCAAGTGAACGTTCCGACGCACAGTGGTAGATTTCCACGGAAATTCAAAACTTTTGAACGGCTGGGCCGATTTTCCTGAAATTTTTTTTGGGAGTTCTGTGGACGGATAGGCAACTTTTGAGCATATTGGCAACTTTGAGCCTCGGCTCCTTCTTTCCGAAAATCGAAAATTTCCCCTTAAATCGACGATTGCGGCTAAACGGCTGAATGGATTTCGGACTGCTTGATGGCGCTGGAAAGCTCTCCCGATCCCGCATCTTTCGTTTGCTTGGCGTTTCACTCTAGGACGCTTCGTTGAGGAGCTACAGGCCGATTTGTAAAAGTGCCGTTTGAGTATAGAGGCGAGAATTTTTTCTCGAAGAAACTAGCCTTACCCGCGCTCAATAGACCCAACTCACGTAAGT